TTTTAGGAGCCAGAATCTAATACAGTGAGTCAAAGAGATCATAGGTAAACTGGTTAGTGGTTACCTACTTTTCTAACTTGTTTTTAATATCCATATAAGAGCACTGAAGAGACCATGTATCTTCCAAAAAGTTGATCCATGCACTAAGAACATCTGCTTCCACTTTACATGAGTTTATGGACTTCAATAGCTCATCTTCCTGCAAAACTTGGAACATTAAGCATAGGAAAAGTAAGTGAGAAAAAAAAGTTGCAAAAAGATGAGAAAACCTTAGTTTTTAAATGTGCAACAATCTGGTCATTAGCATCATAGAACTGGTCCCTCTCTTCTCTAACATTATGGAGGCGCGCATTAGCTGCAGCCAAGGAGATATTCACCTGGAAAGTTTATAAATATGTGCAAATGAAACACAGTTCACCTGAAACTTGAGATAATAAAATCTTTTTATTTCAACAAGTTTTCCATCTATACAATTGATAAAGCTCTTCTGAAAGTCAAACTATATTTCTTCCACAATTCGACTCCAAAACATTGTATAGCAGAGCTCAAGAAAATAGTGGGTCACTATCTCATCCAAAACATTGATACACAACCGGGTATCAATGTGAAAAATACAACAGAGAATGTCAATGATGAAACAAACATCAACATCACAGAAAAATCTTAAAAGTAAAAGGAAAGAATTTCCTAATGAAAAGGACCTGTTTCAATTGGGCTTCAAGTTCATCTCTCTGTTTCTCCAGTGCTGATATCTCAGCTGTTATTTCCTGAAGAATACATAAAGGAACTACAGTTACCAGAATCTAAGACAATAGAGGCCAATCACCAATGAGAGTGCAAGTACTAATTCATTCATTAATTAATGAACATGACTTTAACAGAGAGGATATTGGAAAACTGCACAAACAAATACAGAAATACATACAAAGAAATTCAACAAAGTTTTCATCTCGCTACTCTTATGGCTAATGATTGCTCTAGCTTGAAAATCTAAAGTGAATCGCAACACATGCACTCAATGAAAAAGAGAGAAAGAAAGGAAAAAAAGTGATTTTTAATAATATTTCTAGTAATTATTTTATATAAATTTGAACTGAAAACTAAAGCTTATGCCTCGCAGTGGGATGATGTGCAATACAGCCAAACCGCCTCAACTAATACAAACATTGCAATCAACCTTATTTGGAGACAAATTGCAGTGACAAATGAGTTTAAATCTGACAAACAGTCAAAGGCTCATCCTAACACTACAGGAAGACATGTACTCATCCTAACACTACAGGAGTATGTCATATTTTCCTGAATGAAGATTCATGAAGGGCCAGGGACGGTGTGCCCCTTAGGTTATTTATTTGTACAAATAACAATTATGATGCTTATGAACACATCTTTTACTTAACACTATGTATGCATCCCCATGTAGCCCAAACCGACTCTTTTACTCTATTTAAACAGAAGTACATTAACATTCATACTCCCTCTCTCTCACTTCTTTTTTGGTACGCCTATCAGGGCACATGCAAATGTTGCACGCCTTTAAGTTCTGCATTAGAAAGCATGGGTATGTATACTAAGCTGAACACCTTTTCTATTTCACCGGCTTCAGAGGTCTTGGCACCACGAAAGCTTAAGGTTTCCTCTTTCTGCACTCTGCCAAGAATATAAATGGAAAATAAAATCCAGAAGAGTGAGTACCAAGTAACTTCGCTTTCGATTGACGAGATTAGGAAAGAGGAAGAGAAGAAAAACAAACAAACAACCAGTATATGAAACACATAATTAGCATACGTAAGGACACTATTAAGTATCAACTATCAAGAAACAATACATACAGTGACTACTACGATGAGAGGATAATAAATCCTACTAATTAAGTATACAAGATCGTTCCACTTAATTTTCAAGTATTGCTAACTCCTTATGAAAAAAGGCAATGGAGGAACCATACTACCATGACCCAATGAGATATGCCAAGCAAATGAAGCAATGATAACTTCATTAGATTATAGGTAAGCATAATAAGACTACATTCACTAGGAAAGCCACCAGAATCGAGCAAATAAAATAACATAGAGGGTTGTTCACATCTCTTATAATACTTGCATAAATAGATCACCTGTGGTCGGAGATCTTCTTCTCGGCTTTAGAGCTCGAGCTGACAAGAGATTCAGATAAAACTTTCAACTTGTCAACCTGTAAATGACAAAAAGTTGTTTAATCTGTCATGCATATTGCATTCTATAAAGAGCAACAAATGTTCAACAAAATGTTGTGAGTGATGGCTTTAAAAATTTTAAATAATTACACACACACACACACACACATATATATATGGAAAAGGAAAGTCTTTTAATAAGAAGTATTGCTTCATGGTGCTTTAATATGACAGAGAATAGTTCTCTTACAGAATTTCAGAAAGGAGCAGTGTATAGACAAATATATAAAATGTTGAATATGATATAACTGATCAAATATGCTTTAATCTCAAACTGGCACTTCTTTGTACTCTTAGTGCTAGAAAATGAAGGTTTCGAAACAAAAGCACAGAGAACAAGAAACTTATGTTTGGAGACCCTCTAATAGGTATAAAACACAACCACAAGTTGATTTTAAGTTGCACTTGTGAAAGAGACAGGACCTATATTTAAAATAGCTATTAGGGATTGAGTATACTGTATACGTTACACAAATATATAACCTTAAAAGACTTCCAAATATTTTTATGAAATGAAAGCATCAAGGTTAGCATTGTAACATGGGAAATGCATTTCCAATCGGGGCAGCAAGACCATGCAGTACTAATAAGCAACAAACATGTTGCCACCTGGCACTACGGAAGCATTTCAATAACCAAAGACAAAGTAATAACATAAACACACAACAGCACAAGTGTGATATACCTTTTGAGCATGAATTTCAGGGGAATCCCCATATTTAAGAGTTTTCTTCTTCAGTAGCAGTGCTTCTAGTTTTGAGCAGATTCGGATAAGTACAAGTGCTTCCTTCAAAGCCTTTGGAGGGGAAACAAATTAGATATTACTTCATACATGTCATGTGCATATATATTATTCAAATGATTCAATTTGCAAACAAAAACATGGCCCTGGTTGACCCTATTGAGTCAATAATCAAATAGCAGAAAGCAATAGGAGAAAGAATGGGAAAAAATTCTTAAAGAGCAACAGCCAGGTTCACCTCTATGGTGGGGGCAGACTCTTTGGGTTTTTTTTCATGAACTTCACCAACACATTCCTTTTTTTCTCTTATCTCGCCTAATCTCTTCTTCAGCAGGGAAACCTCAGCATCAATTCTGCATTAGTATGTAGCTTAGTGTCAAGGTATATAGAGGATGACAAGAGTGTGATTTAGCATCTAGCGTTCTAGCCTATACTTGTATGTTTGCAAAGGAGACAAGAAATCAAGGAACATCAGAGGTTTTTTACACCTTCCAAGATCAGCATTGACTTTCAACCCTGTGATAGCTCCTTCAGCAAACTGGAGAAGTTCCTCTCTCTTTGCCTGGCACACAAAATGGAGGTAATAATGTGTAATTATGAGTTTCACTGGTCTTGTTGAATATAATAGCCAATAATGTTGGCATCTTGTTGAGAAATCGTATAATTGATCTCAATAGATATGTAATTATAAAGTGGCTACTACAAGTTGATGTATCCGAGCCCGACCCTTTCAGGTCCTTCCCCACGCCTCACACAATCATGGGAGCCAAATGACTTACGTTCAAACATTATGATCCATTTTAGTGAGAATTCAAAGGTCTTTTAACCCGAAAGGCCAAAATAACTTTCGTTATTGACCTAAGGGTTCCGCTAGCCAACCCCCATTCCGTCCAACCCAACCCCAAACATCTAAAAGTATTTTATTTCCTTTTGATATCCAAAATAAAGTCTCTTCCAGCTATTTTAACCCCTGGTCAAAAATAAGAAACCAAAACAGCCCCATTCATTTTCCCAACATTCACCCAACATGGTCAATACTATGTTCCCTAGTCCAGCCCACTAAACAACCATAAAAGGCCAAGAGACACATGGTACTTTCTTAACCCTTTAACCACAAAATAAATCCTCATATATGCAGCCAAAGTACCACACATCACTCTTTCCCTTTGTCCCCCTGGTTGGCTGAATACATCCCCCAAAATCAGCCCAAAAGAATGCCATTCATTCCCCTTGGTTTGCCTTTCATCAGAGACCCTACAACCACACCCATCCCTGATTGTATTCCTATAAAAGGACCCAAGCAGATGGCTGATATTTCAAGGCTTTGAGAGAGGATGTTGCTAGGAAGCTTACTCATGTTCACATTCATTGTATTGTGTATTATTTTCCCCTTCCCCTCTCCCTATATAATGTAGCCTTAGGGCAATGTGCAGGGACAATGGAATCATATTAAAAACCTGTTACTCTTTGAGTATTCTTAAAATAGTGTGATGCTATTTTAGCCAAATTCCTAATTCTATATCTTAAGAATGGTTATCTTAAGTGTGAGTTTTAGGTTCTTGTTATTTGATTGAGTGTGTAATATCTTGATTAAATACTAGAGTTTAACCCCAAGTTAATCTAGAGGTGAGCTTATCCTTTAGTATTAATTTGGCTCCAAATTAAGATAAGAGTGTGTTTATCTCTTATTCCTTATTTGGAATTTATCCCATCCTTTCTAAACCCATCCTTCATCCCTGATTTTCCACTCTTCTTCATAATATCAAAACCCAAAAAGAACTCCTACACATTCCCATATTTTCATCCAGCCCATTTTCCCTTCATTATTCCACAATTCCATCTCCAAAAATAACAACTTGATAAGACCCCCGGTTCACCCCTAACATGAGTCTACAGTATTTCCACAGCATGTCACTAGTATCACAAAAATTATGCACCTATTATGCTGCATGGAAGCATTCAAAATATTACAAATTACAACAAATTCTGCACTTCAAAAAGTGTTTTAATGATAGTTAATATTTCAGCCTTTACCAGTACTTCATCTTCATAACCTGAAAATGCTTTGGAAAGATCCTGTATACTGCTGACTATTGCATTGTGAACTTCTTTTCCTCCAGTAAGACAGAGCCTGCACAATAATGATGTTGTTCAGTGCTCTTTAGTCTTTACTGTGTTAATACCACTTTATTGCCTCAATCATAACCACATTCCATGGTTAATATTTAAATACTATCAACTTGATCAAATTCAATTTACAATGCTTTCAAACTCGATCAAGGTGCAATTCAAATTATCAAAAGTGACCTCACTTCATGAACACTCTGCCATTCTCTGGAAAACTGTATTTTGGACATCTTAAACTAAATTTGTCAACCAGAAAAGTCAATTGCAAAATTTTCTCAAATCAGCCAATAACTGAAAGTGTAAATTTAACTATAGTGTAAAGATTTAAAAGTTCTCATCCTTCACTTAAAATTAGAGAGGATGAAAAAATAAGCGAGTAAGATAAGAAGAGGAAAGTTTTTGGGATTTCGGGCTTGAAGTTTCTGCCCGGACCTAAAACTTACAGATTCATTGTTATTTATTGTCTATAAATATTGAGTCTTATCATACATAAAAGAGATGAAAGATTAATACAATATTTGAATTTATCATTGGAGATTCTCCTTGTGCTTTGTTAGCTATATGAGTTTAAGACCACCTGCTAGACTCTTCAAACCCTCAATATTAAACACATTCTATGAAAATAGGTTTCTCCTTTCTTTGGTGGTTATGATAAGAGTTTAGTTGTCAAATGTATACTTCAAACAAATGAAGCATATTATAAAGCAAGTCTTTCAAGTTCGAGCAATGAAGTTGGACATTGGATCACTAGACTTACCCAAACAATTCAAGCAGAAGAGAAACTTCTTCTTCATTTGGTGCTTCAAGAATCTGAATAAAAAAAGTAAGAGGAAGTTATGTAGTTAATATTGGTGCTTGGCAAACTATAGTAGGCAAATGAATTACATTCAGCCACCTAATCTAAACAAAGAAAAACTCTTTAGTGCAGAAGAAGCTCTTCAAAAGGCACATTCTTGGTAAAGAATTATAAATTTCACATCTAAAATTGCATACAGTTTGTTCATTAACCTAATTTGTAAAAAGTAAAGTTAATTACAATACTTTTGCAACACTGGGAAGAAAAAAAACTGGTTACGTACCATACATATTGATATTCCCTCCAAAGCTTGACTGTAAAGGAAAACATCACGAAAATTCATTGGTTCTCCACCCATCTCGGAGTCGTAATATAAAACCTATCAATAATAAGACAACATCAGAACTCTGATAGGAACCTGAACAATAACACAAATGGGGAAGATGATCAAGAATAAAAACTGCTACGGATAAAATTCTGTACCAGGGCTTCACGGCATACTCAAAGAGCTCATATTGGAGAATGATAGAAAAATTGGAATTAGAATGATCATACTCTTATAGTTGAGGATACTGAGGAGTCGCCCATGACAGTAGTATAGGCAAGTGATTCACAGTTTTTCAAACAGCATACACAGTTGATGCAGTTGGTCGCTTAAACTATATGAGCATGGAAAAACATGCACACTTGACCCAATTAAACGTGTTTGAGCATTGTGAATTTTCCCATGCAAATGAATGAAGTCAAGAATTCAAGATCAAACAAAAGAAACAAAACAAACCAAGATAATAAGATTTTTTTTGCGTTTTATTCAGTATTGCATAGTATTACCAAAGAACTGGTTTAAAAACTTTGTGTTTCTCCATAAGAAATGTGAAAAAATGGCATCAAACTCTTCTACTCACTAGAGATTGCTTTTTTGGGCTTCCTTTTGGCTCCTCTGATGGATGATGCTCCTCATTACTCTTCTCCTTTTCATCAATGGGACCTTCAGATGATTTTTCAATCTCTTTTAACACTGCTAACCATCTCTTCATTAACTGAACTCGCTCTAGTCCCCTACAGGAAACAGATGCTTCTTCCAATCTTTTAACAGCCTGCTTAAAGCTTTTGAAGTTCCGATTTGCCTGACATGATCACGGGATGTAACGAATGAGCATGGGACATTGGGACATAAGTAAGAAAAAAATCAATCAATATTAAACCATCATAAACCTTATTCCCAATCACACGGGCATGAGATGTGCTAAATAGACACTCACACCACTTCACTTTTTTCTTCATGACATTCAGGTCAAATCATTTAAGATATGGTGCATATATGGATCATGTTATGGTCAATTACTCAGTCACTTCAATCTCCTTTATCTGTTGGCCCGGTTACTAGCCTTTTGAGGAGAATTTTGTAAGAGGTGAGGCAGTGGGAAAAGAAGCACCTTGAAGGAATCTAATCTATTTAAGGTAGAAACTCAAAAACTCGAACCATCTGTACTGATACAAAACAGTTGCCTGTTTTTTTACACACCCTAAGTCATGTCATCGTGTGCACTTACATGGGCAGTAGCTCATATTTCTCCCTCAAACATAATACTCTGTAAGTATCTCACTAAGACAAAAAATAAGGTGGAGTTTAACAGAACCACAATGCTTAAAGAACACATATTAACGTAGGAAACACACAAAGGCCATTGGATCATCCTTGTCAACAAACCGAACAATGATGCTAGCACCGACACCAATAAGTATCTCATTGAAGAATTTCACATGTAAATGTTAGAAATATACGACTTCTAATGTGTCAGGTGCCATGCAAATCTTTAAAGAAAGCATCTAATAGACTACAATTTCCCAACAAGAACAAAAGTGATGAATATTAAACAAGAAGTTTAAAAGAGAGTATAACTTATCCTACTAAAAAGTCTAAAATTGAGTCAATTGACAGTGAACTAGCCCTAGCAACTCTGTGCTCTGTAGCCATTGCAAATTCCTAAATAGGGGTTTGAAATCATTCAAATCATTTAATACAAACACTAATCATGAAATTCAGAACTGCACTTTATCAAGCATTGAGACATCACTCAACAAACACTTCTACTGGAGAAAAATTAAACTGATAGTTGAGAAATTACAATACGATCCTGGAAGATTTTGGCGCCCTCGGCAACGGCCTGGCCGGCGTGCTGGACGACGGTGTCCGCGTAGTTTTTGACGGTGCGTGTGAGGTTGTTTTTAGTCCCAACCTCCGCCGCTTTGTTCATCGCCGATCTGAACCAAGACATTTTTTCCGATATCGATCACGGACAGACTGATTCACCTGGTACATTCAACGCAACTACGCAGGCGTTAAGCTTTCTGAGGATGGCTTAGAGAAATGTAACTAGATTCAGTCAACTGTCAAACTTTGACCATGGTAAAAACAAACAAAAACAAAAATGCTTAGGACTATATCAAAAGTGTATTTCATTTATCGGTGGGGTTCTAGTGACACTAGAGAACGGTGTTACTAGCGGTGCCTTTGGGGACAACTCCGATGCTCCATTCGTAAAATTGACTGTTCCTACCCCCTATAACTCACCCCCTAAACTCACCACCTTACCCCTACCCCAACCCCGCCGTAAGCCCCTCACAAAATGTGTGACTATTATGCATAATAGCCACAAATTTTGTGGGGGCTTATGGCGGGGTTGGGGTGGGGAGTTTAGAGGGTGGGTTAGGGGGCTTATTGTACTAATATTCCGTACTAATATTTCGTAGTTGTTAAATGTCCATTGTTACACTTCATGATTTCAAAATTTGTGTTGTTGTCCCTCGTCGTTCTAATATTCCTACATCAATGCATATCTACAATAATATCATTCAAACATTATACTCCCTCCGTCCCAAATTATTTGACACATTTGCTTTTTCAACAGTTGCGGGAACTTTTGTTTATTTCTACGTTTTCATTGGTTATTTGATAAAATAAAATATTCTTGACACCTCTTATTTCGAAGAATTTTTCATGTAGTTTTTTGATATATAATTTTTATTTTTTATTTTTTTCACCAATATGTAAATAAAATGAATTGAAAAAACTTGATATTTTACCTCGGTAATAGAAATGTGACAAATAATTTGGGACGGAGGGAGTATGAATAACTATGTTGTCCTCTGTGATTTTGGAAATATGCACCAATGCCCCTCATAAAAGCATTGTTAGTATCTCTAACTGCCTCTTTGATCCAACTGAGTTTCTGTCTGTCGTCTGGTTCCTCTCCACCAAACGTCCTTGCATTTCTCCACTGCCAAATCCACCAGCAAGTAGTGGCAAAAATGATGCCACAGTCACAATCAATATTGTTATTTCTCTTTTTCAAAACAATTATGTAGATCCAATTCTTCACGCCACCATCGCAGAAAGTGTTTTTGTTGCCTCTAATGTCGTTTCAGACACTCTAGCCTTGAAGCACGTCCTGAAAATGTGGTCAGTTGTATCTTATTGTCTGCTGCAAACTAAATAGTTACCATCCACCATAAGGCCTCACTTCTTGCGTTCAACATTTCCCAGCACTTTGTCGTGACTCATGGTCCATGACAAGAGTTTGAACTTGCTCGGAACCTTAAGTCTTCTAAATTATTGCCCAACTTTTTTCCTGTATATGAGAGTTGAAGTCCTTTATCATGTTATATGCGCTGAAGTAATAGAGAACTTGCCTAAAGGTTCGTGCTTCTAGTATATTTCGTCTGGTTCTCCTAATTATGTGTTTAGCATCGTCAAATGTAAATGAGGTGATATTTGCTGGTAGGTTGGGTAGATGGCACCATTTCCATCCGATTGTGTTATCCCACATATTAGCGACCTTTGCATGCATGTTATATAACATCCTTGTGTCCTCGATGAAATCAATAAGTGGTTTCTCTCCAATGCTAGTACATCAAGAGTAAAGTGTATCTATTTGTACACAATTAGATTCTCCACAACAAACTTCCTTAATTAAGTATGTGAATTGACTTAGGTACCCTAGTTAGAAGTGGATTCAGTTTTGCCAGTTTAGTTCTTACCTAAAATCAAAGACAAAATAGAAGGTAAATTAGTAGTTTAGTTCAGTTTGGTTTCACACCAAAAATATTCAAGGTGTTTGCATTTATATTTTTAATACTGCAATTTTTGCATATGAGATATACCCATATACAAAAAAATGAAGTACATAGAAAAGTTCAGTTTATTTGGTTTGCTTCAGTTTTTCAGAGTGAAAGCCATAATGAAAACTAAACAATAACAATTTTGTTCAATTTGTTTACATCCAGATTTGGTTTTTTGTTTAGATCTTTTTTTTCTAGCTCGTTTTCCAACCCACTCCTAAGTCTAACTCACACATTATAGGTAGCTCCAGTATTTAAATGAGGAATTATTAATCACAATGCTCTTAATGATTTCTAATTTTACTCTTGTTTGATATTCAACTCACCCATTTTATCTTTCCATTTTTTTAATTTGTTCGCCCATAAATTATCTTCACATTCTTTTTCCTTTTTTTGACGAAGTACTTTTTTTATACCACATTAACTACCCTGGTGGGGTTCCCAAGACATTGGAACCTCATGTCATGGGATGCACCGGGGTAGTCCAATACCTCGTTCGTAAAATTAACGATTTCTATCTCACCTAACCCCTCGTTAACCCCCCACCCCTTCAATTGCAATATCATAGGAACCGTCCCCTAACTACCCTCACCTTTAGTTATTAATTATTATTCATATCTCTACTTTATTTCACTTTTTACAAATACCTGAGGGCAATTATGGAAAATCCACACATTTTTACTTTTCCTTAATTTACGTTTAAATTCAAAAGGAAAAGATAATTTTTGGATGGAGAGAGTATTATTTTTATGAATTTAGTATGGGTATTCTCTCCGTCCTAAAATGATCTTCCGAGTTTGATTTACGAAGTTTGACCGAAATTATTTTTAATTCGATTTATTTGATTATAGGTGTAAAATTTAAAAATAAAAATTATATATTTTAAAATTAATCAAAAGTTCTACAAAGAAGATGTGACATTATTATATTATTTTATCAAATAATTAACAAAAATATGTAAAGAAAGTGATTAAAATTTAACCATATGAATAGTACTGCCTCCGTCCTAAAATTAAGTTTCCATTTGACTTTTTACGGTCTCCAATGCGACACTTTGATCATCAATATTTCAATTTTTATATAAATATATTTTATAAAAATTATATATTTCAAAACTATGTTTCAAAATGAATCTATTGTTAATAAATTTATATGAAAATTCAAAGTATTTTTTTCATAATATACGGTCAAAGTTTAAAAAATTTGACTATAAAAGTCAAACTGAGAAATTAATTTTAGTAAATAGGAATTAGTTGGTATGGGAAGATAACTTGGAGACTTGGTGAATTTGAATACTCCCTTCAGCTAGTACTCTTTCCCTAGCTAACATCAATAGACATGCGAATTGCATGAAATGATAAACACATACTCCGTATATACTAGTCGTATAGAACAAGAAGGTGTATGCAAGTCTCCTCAACGCACTCATCACCGGCCTCCAAAGTAAAACCAGACGTGTAGAGAAGATGGTCGATCGTCATAGGTATGGAGCTTTGGATCATGGTGGATCACTACCTCATCATCTTTCACTACCTCCATATCCATGGCGCCTCTAAAAGTCTCGACCCCCCACTCATCACTCTTCCCATTTCTGCCCTTCAAATTATCAACCATCTTTAAAGCCTGTGATCCATTTCACCATTCTTTGACCTATATATATATATATATCTTCCACATCATCCCATGAAATTGGCATTCCATGCATGTTGATAAAAGTACTATTGAATGAATACTGCTCTGTTTTCGACACTGCAATTCAATTAAATCAATACTACTCTGTTTTCGATCGTGACCACATGGAGATGTCAATGTTACCTTTTGGAGCTTCGTCCCCGACGGTATGCAGTCTGTTGAGGTATGCTGCCGGTGCCGGAGGAGAGACTCCTCCTCCGACAAATCAGCAAGTCATTGAAGTGGACTGTTCCGGCTCCGATCGTGGCGGCTCTCTCCCTTTCGTACTCTCCTTCAATAATCTCACATACAGCGTACGAATCCGGAGCAGAGCGATTCTCCCGCCGTTTCTCCGCCGCCGGGACAAACTCCGCGGCTCCGCGGAGAAAAAGGTGATCCTCAGAGATGTCTCCGGGCAGGCGCGTGAGGGGGAGATCCTCGCCGTCATTGGCGCGTCGGGATCTGGAAAGTCGACTCTCATCGATGCCTTGGCGTGTAAGATTTCGAAGGAGAGCTTGAAAGGAACGGTCACGCTCAACGGCGAGCCGTTGGGATTCCGGCAGTTGAAGGTCATATCGGCTTATGTTATGCAGGATGACCTCCTCTATCCGATGCTCACGGTGGAGGAGACGCTCATGTTCGCGGCGGAGCTCCGCCTCCCGCGGACTCTCTCGAATTCGAAGAAGAAACAGAGAGTCCAGGCGTTGATCGATCAATTAGGGCTTCGGAACGCCGCGGCGACGGTCATCGGCGACGAAGGACACCGGGGAGTGTCAGGAGGAGAGAGGCGGCGCGTGTCGATCGGGATCGACATCATACACGACCCGATCGTCCTCTTCCTCGACGAGCCGACCTCCGGCCTCGATTCATCCAGCGCTTTCAACGTGGTGAAGGTTTTACAGAGAATTGCTCAGACCGGAAGCATCGTCATCATGTCGGTTCACCAGCCGAGTTGCCGGATAATGGGTTTACTCGACCGGCTTCTCTTCCTCTCCGGTGGAGAAACAGTTTACAACGGATCTCCCGCAAACCTGACCCGATTCTTCTCCGATTTCGGGCATCCCATTCCAGAAAGCGAGAACCGGGCGGAGTTCGCTCTGGACCTCATCCGCGAACTCGAAGGCTCAACCAACGGGACCAAAGGTCTGGTCCAATTCAACCGGAGTTGGACCGGAAACCGAAACAACGAACCGGAAACGTCTAATATTTTACCTCTTAAATTCGCCATCGCAGCCAGCATTTCCAGAGGGAAGTTAGTGTCTGGCGCGACCGCCAACGACGGCAGCCCGGTGGAAACGGTGCGAACACATGCCAACCCGATCTGGACCGAAATATTCGTGCTATCAAAACGGTCGTTCCGAAATATGGGCCGCATGCCCGAGATTCTCGGCACCAGACTCGGAACAGTCACAATAACCGGATTCATCCTGGCCACCATGTTCTGGCGGTTGGATGATTCCCCGAGAGGAGTGCAAGAACGGTTAGGATTTTTCGCCTTCGCCATGTCATTAACGTTCTACACTTGTGCTGATACAATACCGGTCTTCATCCAGGAAAGATACATATTCCTGAGAGAAACCGCCCACAACTCGTACAGAAGATCCTCGTATTGCCTCTCCCATGCTCTGGTTTCCTTGCCCAGTCTCCTCTTCTTCTCCTTTGTCTTTGCCGCCTCCACTTTCTGGGCGGTGGGGCTGAGCGGCGGAGCGACTGGATTCTGCTTCTACTATGCCATCATCTTGGCTTCATTCTGGGCCGGAAACTCATTTGTCACCTTCGTCAGCAGCGTGGTACCACATGTTATGCTCGGGTATGGATAAAATTTAGGATTAATTATAGAAATATTTGCACTAAATAGCACTAAAATTTAAGTCATTTCCCTAAATAGCACTTAAACTGTTTTATTCTCTAAATAACACTTATAATGTCCATAATGTCCAGTGATGGCGAAATTTTGCTTGAATAATGACTAATGCATAATGATTAAAAGTGCTACATTGGAAAGAAAAACATATGTAGTGCTATTTAGGGAAAGTCATTATCTTTTAGTGCTATTTAGGTAAATTCCTCTTAATTATATTAGAGATTACTTAATTGGGATAAGACATGTCCACTATATTTGGATTGTGAGAAATTAGTAAGAAAGAAAAATATTACTAGGTGAGAAAACATAAAAATCAATGCAAATTCACTAGCTTGTTTGCGTAAGAAAATGTGGAGGGAAGAGAAAATAAAGCATGAGATCATTTTCTTTCTTCTTAAAACTTCAATTAGTATTATCCCATAATTATTCTTTCCGAACTCTAAAAATGTGGGATATTTTAACAGGTACATCGTGGTGGTCGCGGTGTTGGCGTACTTCCTCTTGTTCAGCGGGTTCTTCATGAACCACGACAGAATCCCGAGGTACTGGATTTGGTTCCACTACATCTCTCTGGTCAAGTACCCATACGAAGGAGTCCTCCAGAACGAATTTGAAAATCCTGAGAAATGCTTCGTACGGGGGATGCAGATGTTTGACAGCACCCCTCTTGGGTCGTTGTCGGAATCGGTTAAGGAGAGGCTCTTGGAGAGGATAGGTGATGTGTTGAAGACGAATATCACTGGGTCGAGTTGCGTGACCACGGGGGCCAACATTCTGGCTCAGCAAGGGGTCACCGGGCTCGGGAAATGGGGCTGCTTGTGGGTGACCATTGCATGGGGGTTTTTGTTTAGGATTTTGTTTTACCTATCTTTGATTACGGGAAGCAGGAACAAGAGGAGGTAATTAACTCCTAGTTACTCAATCAATTGAAAGGGAAATCCTTGAGGCTTGGATGGTATGGAGTATATAAATTGGCATTGCAGATGTGGTTCCACTTACTACGAGTGCCGTAATAGGGCCAGAAAAATTCATCCAATTAGTTTATGATGTGTTACCTCATTGAATGTATTGTATGTACTATATATGTAGACATTGTAGCTTAAATGGTTATTAAAAAATAGGATGAGCCCTATTTTATTGGATGAGACATTGTAACTTAAATGGTTATTAAAAAATAGGATGAGTCCTATTTTATTGGATGATTAGTCGCCCAAGAAGAGGTAATTGAGTTATAATCACATATTGACAAGTAAATGGTAGTCTCTCAACGTGATAACAAGGAATCGAAATCGAGTTTACCTTTTTGTGCCACTTTCTCAATAAACTTAGTCATGCCCACCGGTAACTTATATAATTATTACAATACTTTTTTTTAACCAAAATGCACACTTTATTAAATCACCAAAGTAGCAAGTTCTTTACAACAACAATAATACTCCCTCCGTCCTAAAATTATTTTCCCATTTTGACTTTTGCAGTCAAAGTTTTTAAACTTTGACTGCATATTACGGAAAAAATATATTGATTTTTCATATAAATTTAGTATCAATAGATTCATTTTGAAACATAATTTTGAAATATATTATTTTGATAATATATATTCATATAAAAATGGAGATATTAATGGTCAAAGTGCCGCATTGGAGACCGTGATAAGTCAAATGAGAAGTTAATTTTAGGACGGAGGGAGTAGTAAGAACGATCTTATTCATTCTTAGTTTATATTTAGAAAACGAGCTTATATAAAACATGTCATTCTTCACCGCAAACTCAATGTTATAGTCTTTATCATGTATCTTAGCATTTCTCATCTTCTAAGTGGTGGTATAGACAAGCTGCCCAGGCGGCCAATGCTAGATTTCTCTACTTGACTGACTTGATTTTTTCTAGCTCCATGTAGCTTTTGAAACTGTGTGCATTTTTTCTAATGTTCAACAAGTTGAAAATCTTCTCTCAGAAATCCTCAACTACTTTGAATTCCCAGAAAAGGTGGTTGATGGTCTCCTGAGCTTGTTCACAGATACCATAAGTATCATGGGTGTCTATGAACTTGCTGTTCCTTGTCAACAACTTCTCCTGTCAAACTAGCTAGCATGTGATTCATCTGATGCTTGGAGTGGGTTGCTTTATTCCAAACAGTGTGACACCATCCAGCTAACCTTAGTGGGGTTACATACCAAGAAGCCATGAACATCCTTGGGCAACTGTGTAGTTTCCTCTTGGCTGCATATCTTTGAATTCAGCTTTGACCTTTGCCATAATCTTCCAGTTTACTTTGGGTTCAATACTCCAAAAGTCACTCACATGTACATATCTTGTGTGTATCCACTTCACCCAGAGTAGATCGGGCCTTTATTATTGATAGGTCTCAGTTTAGTTTCATCACACATGCCTTGTTCGAGAGAATGATGCTTTTTTTTATGTCCAATCCACCATAGCACCTAGGCATACAAACATATGCCCATTGAATTGGTGGTACCTTATTCTATTCAGCCTTAGCTTACCTGTTCAAAGAAAATTCTTACAAATGCTCTGAATGGTATGAGGGACAGACATAGGTAACATGAAGATTGGAGCCTATAAACTAATTATGTCAAAAAGGAAAATATTAACCAATCTGGCTCTCACAACGTAAGAGATAATCAATGTTATTAGAACCGGACCGGACCGGCTGGTCCAACCGGTCGGACCGCGAACCGGTGAGGAATCCGGTCCGGTTCAAATGTGAAACCCGGATCAGCATCGACCCGCCCAGACCCGGCGGAATCGGTGAACCGGGTCGACCCGGCCGGCTCGCGGGTTTCTTTCTAAAGTTTTTTTTTTAATTTTTTTTGCCTACAAAATAAAACAATGGAGCTGGGATTTAAACACTAGACCTCACCATATAATTCTCCAAGTCTATAACCAATTAAGCTACTCAACTCTTGTTAACAAAGTCATGCAGAATAGTATATATAGTGTTTTTTATTTGTGTTGAGTGAATTAAAAAAACTTCTAACTATTTGTAAGAAAGATCATGTTTGTTTTGTGTGATTATTTTATAATCTTTTAAAATATTTCAAAGTAAAAAAAATATTTTTTGTATTAAATAGTAATGAATAATTTATATCTAAACAAATATTATCATCTATAAAATGAAGAAATATATACTAATTATAATAAAATATGGAAAGTGTGAAAGAGTATATAAACAATGACATTGAAAATAACATAAAGAAGAAAAAAATGCAATTTTAAATACTTTATTTAACATCGACAATAACATTTACATCTTTCCTTAATATGTGTGTCCGATTCAAATGGAAAGATTAAAGTTAGACAGAGGGAGTATGTGCTTCGTATTATTTTGAAATAATATGCATATTTAAGTTATGTGATAATATTTTATTATCTTTAAAAATAGTTCACAAAATATGGTATTATTTAATTTTTTATTATCTAAACATAAATATGAATATTATATACCAAGTAATGGGTCGTTGACCGGGTCGTTGACCCGAGTCAACCCGGTTCGACCGGTTGACTCTTGACCCAGTGGCTTGTCCGGTTCGATGTCCGGTCCGGTTTTCAAAACATTGAGAGATATTTTACCGGCCCAAGTACTAATTATAGCTGTGATTTTATCAATGAGGCAGTATTTTTACTGGGCCCAACTAGTATATATCTCCCTCCGTCCCAAAAAGATTTACACCTTTCAAAAAAAATTACGTCCCACAATCTCCTACCCATTTCTATTAAAAAACCACTTTTACCCCTTACTTTTTCAAACCCTACCTATCACATCATACCTTTTTTCTAATAATCTACACATCACATCATACTTTTACCCATCACATCAAGGGTATTTTTGGAAAGTCAACACAAAATTATCTCTCCCTTAATTTCAACTTTAGTCAAAACGTGTAAATCTTTTTGGGATAGAGGGAGTACAATACTTCGTATATACTTGTTAGTACATTAGTTCAAATCTCAATTTAAAAAATCGTATGAAACTCCATCCATTTTGACTAGTAAACATCTTACATAAAACTTGTTTAATAAACTTATAAAAAGGAAAAATTACTCAAAATAATCCCAACTTTATCCTGTCTTTCAAAAATAATCTCACCTTTCACTGTGATGCATAATAATCCTAACTTTAATGAAATTTGCCAATTTTGGGTCGCCATTAAATTTCTAACGGAAAGTTAACGGAAATGTCCGTTTTAGACAACAAAATGAAAGTTGAGATTATTTTTGATAAATTTTTGTTTTTAATTTTTTTTTGAAATTTTTTATTTAAATTTTTTGAATTACTTTTAACCTCCATTTCTTTTTCTTTTTTAAAGATTATTCTTACCTTAGAAAAAAATAGATAAAAAAATAATGAAAATGAGAAAAATAACTAAAACAATACACAATTAATCAAATAAATAATGTAATCAATAGAAATTAAACAGAAACTGGTAAGAAATAAAATAAATATATACGGAGTGGTGGGTTTTAACATTTTACACATTATACGAAGTCTTAATATACTACTTATTTTTTAAAAGAACAAGCCGTCCGATAAAATTGGAATTATTGTAGATAATTTTTTCTAAAAAATAAGAAGTGATATGTTAATACTTTGTATAATACGTAAAATATTAAAACTCACCCATATATTTTTATTTTACTTTTACCAATTTCAAGTTAGTTTCCATTGATTACCTTATTTATTTTATTATTTTTGTATCATTTTAGTTACATTTCTCATTTTTTCATTTTTTATATCTATTATTTATATTTTTTAAACTAAGACTAATCTTTAAAAAAGAAAAAGAACTGATGATGGAGGTAGAAAGTAATTCAAAAAATTTAAATAAAAAATTTTAAAAAAAATTAAAAAACAAAAAAATTCTTCAAAAATAATCCTAACTTTCATTTTGTTGTCCAAAACGGGCATTTCCGTTAACCCTCCGTTAGACACTTAACGGCGACCCAAAATTGGCAAATTTCTGTAAAGTTGGGATTATTATGCATCACAATGAAAGGTGGAATTATTTTTGAAAAACCGGGTAAAGTTGGGATTATTTTGGGTAATTTTTCCTTATAAAAATAGTTCAAAAATAAATAAATAAAAATTGTTTATGTTTATCTAAAAATTAACATGAATATGTATACCTAAATAATTATTTCAAAAAACCTTAAATATTATTCTTATCAATAAAAATTAAGAAATATTTATTAATTATGCTTTAGTATTTTAAAATTAATTTTTTCTTTTACCTTTTCTCGTTTCAATCAAGTAAATATATGTGTGAAGTGTTACATACAAATTACAGTACTAAATAAGAACACATTGTCTAGTCTTTATTGTTCTTAAACCCTTTACTAGGATTTTTTCATTTACTCATTTTGTTATACTCTCTCCATCCCAAATTAAATTGCATATTTACTATTCACAAGGTCAAAGTTCATTCACTTTTTTTCTCTAATTTCGTTAGTCATTTGATAAAATAATATAATCATGTCACCACTAAAAACAACGATCGCTTTTCTAAATTAGGGATCACAGATCAAATATGAGTAAGAATATTGATTTCCATGATTTAATAGGTTAAAAAATATTTTAAAAAATATTACTCCTTCCGTCATAAAATTTTCTTCTGAGTCACTATTTAAATGGTTAAGTGTCTGTTTGGAAATAGCGTTAGAGATTAGCGTTAACGTTTTGAAAAGGCTGTCTACGGACAACATTTAGAGTTAGTGTTTTCAAAGTAATCTGCACCGTTAAAATTTTATCCAAAACGCCGACGCTAATCTCCAACGCTATTTTTCCAAACAGGCCCTAAACCTTAATTGTTTTCTTTACTTATTTCCGTTGGTTATTTTATAAAATTACGTTTTTATTTTTTAATTATTTGAAACCCTTATTTGGGTTACCATTCATCTCATATTTGGCGAGTGACTTTAGCATTATTGACTTCTCCGTATTTGAGTGAATATTGATTGAATTTTGTGTGTGACGGGCGCCTATAATTGACCAATGAAATCGGCCTATAAAAAAAAATACGGAGTTCCGTAACACAGAGACGTCCAGGTCCAAACTCAACTCCAGTTTTAAATGTGATGTATATATAGATAGTTGACCCCAAGGAATTTCTATGTTTATCATCGAACCTTCTCCCCCATTTGAACGTCTACATTTTTCATTAATCAATGACTTGATCCTTTTATGACGTTTATCATCCATTCGTTCATATCGCGTTCTTTAATATTCTATTCGTCCCTATATAGATTATAAATTGCGGATTACGAAAAAAAAGTTCCGATTTTTTGAAATTATTTTGTTTACAAATTAGTATATCAATAAGATATAAAAATTACATATTAAAAAAACTACGTCAAAAGTTCTACAAAACAAGATGTGACAAGAATATTTTATTTTATCAAATACTTAATGAAATCGCGTAAACAAACAAATGTTATCGACAGGAGAGAAAAAAAATTGTAATCTATTTAGAGACGGAGGGAGTAATAATACCTAACCCATTAATATTTATATTCATACTTAAATTCGTTTTATAAAAATTTAATATTTCAAAATTGCTCAGGTATGTTTTACTCACTTCGTCGAAAAAAATCTTTCTTGATTTGATTTGTTACGGAAAATAAAAAAAGTTAAAAAATGTAAAGACTTCTCATACGTTGTCCATGATATGATGGGATAAAGGGAATAATATTGATAAAAAATGGATGTATAATGACAGATGCACTAAAAGTTTCTTGTCAAAATAGGAAACATGAAAGAAATTGTTGGACGACCTAAAACGGAAAGTGAGAAAAAATTAATGGACAGAGGGAGTAATAGGGAAATATTGATATTATATTCATATCAAAATAGAATTTATTTTTTTACATATCAAAGTCAAAGTTTATACATTTTGACCGAGAAAAATCAAATGAGGTGATTATTTTCAAATAGAGGGAGTATTTAAGAGTATAAAATTGTAAAATTTGCACTAAATAATACAGAGTACTAAAATATACTCCCTCCGTCCCAAAAAAGTTTGTTACGTTTGAAAAAAACTGCGTCCCGTAAAATCCGTTACATTTCTATTAAAAAATCACTTTTACCCCTTACTTTTTCATATCCTACCTATCACATCATACCTTTTTTCTAATAATCTACCCATCACATCCTACTTTTACCCATCACATCAAGGGTATTTTTGGAAAGTCAATACCAAAATATCTCTCCCTTAATTTCCCAAAAAGTCAAACCGTCCCATTCTTTTTGGGACAGAGGGAGCATGTCATTTTCCAATATAGTACTTAAACATTTTAATTTCTTAAATAATACTTGAATAATGTCTAGCGCCGGGAACAATGTCTAGTGATGGTAGACATTTAGTTTGAACAATGTCCGGTAACGGTGAATATTTACTTGAACAATGACAAGTGAGCAATGACCACTAGTACTGCATTGGGAAATAAAAACTATATAGTATAATTACATCGGGAAAGTCCTTATATTTTGATACTATTTAGGTAAATTCCCCTATAAAATTCCATAGTGCAGCAACCCTTGTATTTGTTAATGCGAGTATTTTAACTTGATTAAAAGACATTACTAATAAATTAGGGTAATTTACGTAAACAAGACTAAAATATATTGGCTTTTTTAATATAAGACCAAGTGTTTTTGTTTTTATTTTCCAACGCAGGACCATTGGTCATTAATTATCTATTAGTCATTATTCAACTAAATGTCTAGCATCACTTGGAAATTTTTCTTCTCACTAGACATTATTAAGTCTTATTTAGGAAATAAAAAAGTTTAAGTCCTACATTCTTAAGAAAAATGGCTTGTGTTTTATTCTTATTCAGTGCAAATTTTTCATAAAATTAATTATAGGGAAAGGATTAGTTCAATATCTTATGGAGACACATGAGTACATGACACATCTCATTCTCATAATTGAGATTTCTTATTCTTATTCTTAGGAATCATACACTACTTGAAATACCTTTAATGCTGTTTTTTCGATTTGATGTCCATGGCGTAAAACACCGTTCCCCTTCCTATCATGGGTGGCCCGGAGGGTGTGCAAGGTGACCAACTGCACAGGGCCTATATTTTTAAATTTGTTAATAATTTTAAAGGAAAAATATTCTTAAAAAATAAAATAGGGCCCAAACTGTAAATTTTGGACCAGACCAATTTTATTTTTCATTTTTCAGAGCCGGCCCTGCTTCCCATCAAGCCAACCTCATCTTGGAAACGTCAGACATTTGATGCTAGTTTTAGGCTTAAAAGAGTTGTTCGCAACCCCCTCCCCCATCCCCCAGTCCTCCACAACGGCTATAATGTCAAAAAAAATTTAAAAAAAATCTTGTCCTCCTCTAAAAAGTTATTCTTTTTAAAAAGGGTTCAACACACACCACTAACACAAATCTCTCTCTCCTCTTTCTAAAAAAAATATTCAAGTAATTTTTTATTTTTAACATGAATCCATTCGGTTATAACGTTCCTTCCTCTGGTCTCGAGCCAAATAAGCAAGCGATGTGGATTTTCTAATCGTAGGAAAATAATCCGTCGATGTTCGATACAGAAACCTCGGTGAATCTCGAGGACCTGGAGTCAGTTTCGGAGACTCAATCGAAACCAAGTGTACCAAAAAAAGTGCACGCCGGAAGAGTGAGAAAGCGAAGGGCGAACGCCGATGACCGAGGCGGCATGGTCCATTGAAAAGTAGACACCGGAGGAAAAGTTGTTGTTGGCATCCGCTTGGGTTGACATCTTCGAGCATCCTATCGTTGGTAAAATTTATACTTTTTAATATATATTGTATAAATGTTCTTTTTATACATTTTTATTAAAATATTTTTTTGTTCGATTATATATACCTTAAAGGTTCTGAGCAAACGAAGGATGCGATATGGATCATATCGAGGAGAAGTTTTTCGCGACGGTGAACAAGGACGCCTCCTACCGAACCCGAGACCAACTCACTGGCAAATAGGGCCACGGCAATCAAAAAGTTTGAAAGTTTATTGGAGTTTATAAGGAATGCTCTTGGTCCCGGAAGAGCGGTATGAATGATGCCGATGTTCAGCGACAAGCCACCACCCGGTATCAAGACGACAGACGCAAAGGCAAGGTCCCCGTTAATCTCTGGAGCCTTTTAAGCCGTTCACCCAAGTGGCAACAACTAAACAACCCCGAGGTCGGATTGTCAAAGAAAAGATCCTCCGCCGAGGTTGAGGCCGATGACGCTATCGACTTATCAGAACAAAGACCTCCCTTCAACCTAGACGACTCCGATGACGAGGATCCCGTTCCACGACCGATTGGAAGAAAGAAGGCAAAACCTATTGCCTTGGGTTTTGCTAGGTCTGGCTCTTTTCCTCTCGCGGTGATATGTGTCGGGAAATGATTGAACAACTACAGGTGTTTAATCTTAAGGAAGAAGAGAGGAAGAAACGAAGGCAAGAGAAGGAAGATATCAAAATAATGGAAACTGACCTTGACACGTTAACAGGCTTCAAACGTATGTTTTACAAGAGAAGACAAAAAGAGACCAATGCCAAATATAATTTACCTTAGTTTTTTTATTGATGTATTTTTAATTAAATATTCTTTTTTATTTAATGTAATATTTCTATTTAATTAATTATTGTCTTTTAAATTTAATTAATTAATGAAGTTTTATTAATTTAATTTTACAAAATGTGTATTTAAAATTTAAAAATTAAGGTTTGAAGTCCAGGAGCTTCAAATCCATTTCTAGTGAAATGCGAGGTAAGTTAAAACTGACGTGACCAATAAAGAAATTTTGATGTTACAGGGTTTCACGACCATTTCCATTGCTCTTGGAAATATCCCAAATATATCAAATATATCTTACACATCATATCTCAAAGATATGATGTGTAAGATATATGCAGTGGCGGATCCAGAAAATTTTTTCACTGGGGGCATTAAGTAAATTAAAGTGAAAAAAAATTTAAAACAAGAGAGAATTGAGCATACTTCTTACCATTAAAATTAAATTAAAAACAAGATACAATTCACTTAAATCTCTTTCTTTAGCTAGTGAAGGTACAATTGGTCTAGAATCGCGTGTTGAGCTCCGTTTAAAAAACTTCTCCATTATCTAAAAATTTAAAATGAAATAAACTTTTTTACTAAATCTATGTACAAAAATTAGAACAAATTACAAGTATATCAATGGAGAATTAATATCTTTTTAGAGACTAGAGTCATCAATTCATATGTTTTGGGATAATTATAAATTTTAATCAATAATAATCAACATAATAAACAATTTCATTTTATAGAAAATTGAAAAATAAAAAAATTATCCAAAAAGTTTCACTAATTACACATAAAAAGGAAAAATATTATTTTAGATCATAAAAAGTTTCACACATTACACATAAAAAGGAAAAAAGTTTCACACATCACACATTATTTAGATCATAATTTAAAAAGGAAAAAATTTATTTGGAAATACCTGGATGCTTGTGCGATTCTACTATTGTGCGATACTCGATCGAACGATTCGAAGCTGTGGGGGACTGGCGGCGACGCGGCGAACGCACGACGGCGGTGCAGCGGGTGCTCCTGTTCGGATTCCACTTCCAGTGTTCGGCACTTTGGCGGTTCAATTGCTCCTCCTTCTCGGTTTCCGCAAACACTAAAGGCCAAGGGGAGAGCAGTAAATTTGGAAATAATTGGAAGGGAAGTAAATTTTATTTTTGGGAATTTGGACAACTGGGCCACTTTTGGAATTGGGTCTTTAGACTTTTAGGTAATTAATTGGTTTGGGCTAAATAATGGATTGGGGGCAGATTTATTTTTTTATTGGGGGCAATTATATAAAAAATTTAAAAATATACATATATTAAAAAAAATTGATTGGGGGCAGCTGCCCCCATATTCCAAAGGGTGGATCCGCCCCTGGATATATGATAGAATTTGGGATGAGTATGGACAACTTGATTGGACAATAAGAGACTTGGGCTGAACCACATTAAAAGATTGAATCCAATCGATTAGTTAGTTCAACTCAAAAGCTTATATACCGAGTATTTTGCTCTTGAACTTCCGATGTGGGATGACACTCTAACAATATATGAGTTATAATTATAAAATAATATTGGAATTATTCATTTTTAAGGTGTACATTTTTCTTTTTAAAAAATTTTTTTGGGATGGAAAGAGTACTACTATGCATTAGCATGCATCAACGTATGAATATAATTTCAATGAAGATGAGAGGCGATAATGTGATATACTCCTTTCCATTCACCAAAATTCATCATATTTTAGCTTTGGGTCAAAATAAATAAAGAAAAAAAATATTTGAGTTTGACTTTTCAATCTTGTCTTTGATGAGACTGTTAAAAGTAAGAAGTGAATAATAGATTTTTAGTGAAAAATATGATGTAATAAGTATGGTAAAAATAAATTGGGGTAAAAGTAGTTTTTAAATAGAAAATACTCCTTTCGTCCTACAAAATCTTTTTCCTTCTTTTTATCTGTCCTAAAAACTTTTTTCATTTCTATTTAAAAATTACTTTTACCAATACTAATTCTTTCCATACTTATCACATCAAAAAAATTTCACTATTAATCTACTCATCACATCTAGTTTTATTCATCACATTGGAAAAATTAATACCAAAATACACTTCTTTTAAATCTTTTTAAAATCAAAACCAGAATGATTTTGAGGAAAAGAGAGTAAAATATATATAGAGTGAAAGAGAAAAAAAATGAAAGATGGAGATTTTAGTGAAGGGAGGGAATAATAATGATAATTACTCCGTACAAAATGAGCAAAGTCAATACCAAAAACACTCCTATCATACAAATCTAATTTAAGTTAAGAGAGGGGTGGTATTATAATTATAAAATGAGCATAGTGAATACCAAAAACACCCCTATCCCATGTATAAAACCCCACCCTTTACCCATTTTTTCTTGAAAACTATCATACGGAATACTTTGCGCCACTTTCTCGCTCGCTATAATTGTTTCCATCTTCTTCCCAACTTATCGGCTTTGATCGATCCGATCCATTTCCCAAAATTGTTCCATTTTCAATAAATAAGTATATATTTAAATCTTCAATTCATAAATTCATTCCTGTTTTGTTTTCTTTTTCTTTGAATCTGATCCTTACCAAACTTTCTTTTTTAAATCCCTTTTTAATTAATCGTATATATATATATATATATACTATACTATCCTCTCTTCTTCTTAGACCCTCCCACTTGCATCTTTTTATTTATTTATTATTTTTCTGATCATCGAGTTTATTATTATTAATTACTTTTCTTAAAAATCTTTTCTGTTTATTGTCATACTTCGTTCTATACAGGCCGGCCATGGAAGATGAAAAAAACAGTGTGAAATATGAAGAGGTAAAACCAGTTAATTGCAGTAATTCCATTTCTTGATTTATTCGACAACAACGTTACGTTAGATGTTAGAATTAATGTTTTGAGAAGACTATTTAATAACGTCATGATTCGAAAACGTTGTTTCCAAACAGGGCTTTAGATTTTCAGATGTTTTTATAATTCTCTTACATATATGGATGCATGCTTGAAGATGATATGTTTTTTCTTACTAAAGAGTTTGTTTTAAAATTTGAATTGAATTTCAGGAGTATGTGTTGAATTCAAGAGGAATGAAGCTTTTTACGTGTCGATGGGTACCTGCAGAGAAATCTGAACCAAAAGCTTTGATCTTTCTTTGCCATGGATATGGCATGGAATGCTCTGTTTCTATGAAAGGTTTGTTATTTCTATGCTAGGAACAAAAAATAGGGAGTTGGATAATATATTGTGAATGCATCTAGAACTGTACTCCGTTATTTTTAAGGACTAAAATAGGGAGCATGATATTCACATTTGACTTTTTGATCATTAATATATATTTATATAATGAAATTTGTATTAAATATGACTAAAATACAAGCCAATTTCCAATATAGGACTTAAACCTTTTTATTCTTTAAATAGTACTTAATAGTGTGTAGTAGGAGGAATAATGTCTAGTGATGGTGGACATTTCTTTGAATAATGACTAATGGATAATGTCTAATAATGGTTCTATATTGAAAAATAAAAATATATAGTCCTATATTGAGAAAGTCATTATGTTTTAATCCTATTTAGGTTATTACCCATTTATATATAAATATGTTTATAAAAATTTACTCACTCTGTTTTTAAAAACACTTGCTCTTTCATTTTTTCAATTTCCAACAAAATATTTCCACTTTCTATTAAAAAATTATTTTTACCCTTACTTTTTTCATATCCTACTTATCACATCATACTTTTTCTCTAATAATCTATCCATTACATCTTACTTTTACCTATCACATCAAGAACAAAATGGGAAGCCAAAATTAACACTTCCTTATTTTTACATCTCGTCAAACTAGGAACCCTTTTTGAAAACGTAGGGAGTAATATTTTGAAACTATATTTAAAAAGGAAATTATTGATATTATATTTATATCAAAAATTCAAAACCCAACGTGCTTTTTCATATATCAAGGTCAACGTTTACAAACTTTGATCATAAAAAGTCAAATGAGAAGATAATTTTTCAGAACAGGAGTACTCGCCAGTCGCTTGTCACCCGTCTCACAAAAATAGTTCTGTTTGAGTAAATTCTACGAATTTCAATTCATCTTTATAACAGGAAGTTTTTATGTTTAGTCTTTTAATTATTTCAGCCCTTTAATCATTTTTTGACATTCTATCATATTAGTATTTAATTGAGAGCTAAAGTATAATTTCATAACGATCATATATTCTTATTGTCATAATCAATGACAGAGAGCAGCTGATGTATAGTTTGTCATTTAGAATCATTGTACTTTGCAACCATAGTCTACTGATATATATTGTCTCTTGTTGTAATCATAATCTAGAGTCATACTCCATTCGTTTGCAAAAAAAAGGTCCTACTTTGACTTGGAGCCAAAATAAGGAAGTGTTAAATTATAGTTGACTTTCAATTTTGTCTCTGATGTGTGAGTAAAAGTAAGATGTGGTGGATAGATTATTAGAGAAAAAATATCATGTGATATGTAGGGTATGAAAAAGTAAGGATAAAAATGGTTTTTAATAGAAAGTGAAGAGTTTTATTGGAAGTGAAAAAAATGAAAAAGGAAGTGTTTTTGAGAACGGAAGGAGTACTATAAAAGGACTAAAAACATTATATACTCCGTATATTTGATAATAGATGGTAGATATAGAAAATTCTTACATTTCCCATTTTCATTTTTCGGATATCTTTAAAAATTCTCATTTATTTTTGTTCCTTTTTTCATCTAGTGTATGATTTAAATAACTTTAGTCAATACTTTATTTTTTTTGTCAACTGACTTTTTTTTATAGACTTTGACCTTTATATATATAGAAAAAATACGGACTATATTGTTTTATGGTATCCACAATAGATTAATTGTGAAACACTCTATTTTGAAATATAATATACTCCGTATAATGTTTTTATATAAAAATATACAATTTAATGTTTTGAAAAAAAAGTTTTTTTAAATATAATTGTAATTAAAATCTATATTTATATAAAATGTTTTTTTAAAACAATTAGCTAAATAGGTTCTAGTTACTCTGGTATAAAAATATTCATATTATTATTTTGATATCTAAAACATATTTTAGTCTTAATTATATATAGTTCTTCCTAAATTGTACAAATATGTCGTATATTTAATTATAAATATAAATATTAATGACAAAATGTTATCTTAGTCACTGTAAAATGAGAAAAAAATTTGGTACAAGTAATCATATTTATTAAATTATGAAGATTACCTACCACACAAAGTTTAAATTACAAACAAGCTAAGTTCCGATCCGTTGCAATATGAAATGTTAACCGACTACTAGTATATGATAGGTACCCATGCATTTTGGGAAAGTGATACTTTGGAAATATTGAATTTTGATACTCCCTCCGTCCTAAAATTAACTTCTCATTTCACTTTTCACGGTCTCCAATGTGACACTTTGACCATCAATATCTCAATTTTTATATAGATATATTTTATAAAAAATATATATTTCAAAATTATATTCCAAAATGAATCTATTCCTAAAAAAATTTATTAGAAAATTCAATGTATTTTTTCCTTAATCTAGAGTCAAAGTTTAAAAAGTTTGACTGCAAAAGTCAAACTGGGAAATTAATTTTAGGACAGAGGGAGTATTTACGTGTANCTCATTTCACTTTTCACGGTCTCCAATGTGACACTTTGACCATCAATATCTCAATTTTTATATAGATATATTTTATAAAAAATATATATTTCAAAATTATATTCCAAAATGAATCTATTCCTAAAAAAATTTATTAGAAAATTCAATGTATTTTTTCCTTAATCTAGAGTCAAAGTTTAAAAAGTTTGACTGCAAAAGTCAAACTGGGAAATTAATTTTAGGACAGAGGGAGTATTTACGTGTACCAAATAATTTACTCCCTCCATCTTATAAAATATTTCTCCTTCCTCTTTTTATCCGTCTCAAAAGTTTTTTCTCATTTCTATTAAAGAATCACTTTTATCCTTACAAATTAATAACATATCTATCAGATCACACTTTTTCATTATTAATCTCCTCATAACATCCTACTTTTACCAATCACATCCAAAGGTATTTTTTGGAAAATCAACATCAAAATACACTTATCTTAAATTCTTTAAAAATCAAAACTAGAAACATTTTGTGGAACGGAGGGAGCAGTAAAGAAAATAAATAAATAAATAGATAATAAATAAATAAATGTATATAGGGGCTGCCACGAGGCTAGTGAAGGCAGGGTATGCAGTTTATGGAATGGAGTATGAAGGACATGGGAAGTCAGATGGTTTGCTTGGCTTTGTTCCCAGCTTTGATCTTGTTCTCACTGATTGTTCCCATCATTACTCCAATATTTGTGGTAATTAATTCATCATCATTATTATTATTACGTTCCCGTCTCAAATTATTACGATTCTTAATTGAAATTATTTTTTTCACTTAATTCATTTAAAAATTCATGTGAAAATTAAATATCGAATGCATGTGTGTGTGTGAGAGAGAGAGATGTATTTATACATGTAAACATACATTTGCAGAGAGGGAAGAGAACAAGAGAAAGATGAGGATTTTGATGGGAGAATCAATGGGGGGAGCACTTGCCCTTCTTCTCCACAGAAAGAAGCCTCTTTTTTGGGATGGCGCCGTCCTTGTTGCTCCGATGTGCAAGGTGCCTGCCTGCCTCCTTCCATCTCGTTCTCGGTTTGATCTGATTGCAGTCATAATTAAAATTGTTTCTCATTTAATTTTGATTTGGTCTGATCTGATTATAACAAGAATAAGTAATAAGCAGAAAAACTAAGTTGAACGGAATGCTACCTTTGACTCTTCCCTAAGATAAAAATATTATTTTCGTCCCGTGATAATATTCTATTTCAACAATTAAATCTATAGGGTAACGATAACTAGGTTAGGTAATAAGACACTTGGACTGAACCATGTTAAGAGATTGAATTTAATCGATTACTTACTTTAATTCAAGAACTTATATATCAATTTATTTTCTTTTCAAATTCCGATGTGAGATACTCTTTAACAGAACGAGATCAATATTTCGTGACAAAGAAATATGTAAAATTAATTAAGACATCCCACAAAAAAAACGGAGATTATAAATATAATTAAGACGCAAAGAATAATATTTTTTATATCCATCAAAAGAATGAATATTATTCTTGGTCCTTTGTCGTTGTGCGCAATTTGTTTTAGTAATTGATTACTATCATCACAATTAAGATATATACACCCTAATGAACTCACACACATAGCTAACTTGAACAAAATGACTATGACATTTTTTTATTAATTAAATTCAGAAGTAGCTCAAAGTTGGTATCCGTGACACACACTTCTCTCATAAAATATGTTAGTCCATCTTTTTCAATTAAATATAAATTCTACCGAGTATTACTTTCTTTTTTGACAGTGCATCATGCCATTTTTCTTTTAAGATATTTGGCAGCTTGCCGAAATATTATTATATCTAATCAATATATTCTTTATAATTTTCGTTTAATTATAATGAAAAAATGATGGTATTGATATTGATAATGACATGTATGTATGGATATATATGATATATGCAGATTGCGGAAGACATAAAGCCTCATCCTATGGTAATTAGGGCATTGACCCAACTTTCCAAAGTCATCCCCACGTGGAGACTAATCCCAACCCAAGATCTGGTGGAGGTCGCCTTTAGAGACCCACAAGTTCGAGATGAGGTATTTTTTTTTTCATTTTTTTTGGCTTGGTCATTAAATTTACACTAATTTCTATTTAATAAACCTCATATTTTTTTGTCCTAAAATAAATTACTCTTTGATTCACGTACACAATTTTGTTAGTTTTAAAATGATTTATTTATAAATTGGTATAGAAATTAAAAAACTTATTACATATACAAAATTGATGGGTTCTAGAGCCACTAAAAAGAATGGCTACAGAAGCCACTCACCCAATTGATTATCCCAACCACGTCAATTGCGGGGTACAAGTTTAATTTAATTTTGGAGTCAAATGGATTTACCGGGGGTAAGGGGATAGTAACAGTTAATTTTGCAAACAGAACAACGTAAGTGTATCAAATAAGTGAGTGCTTTCGTAGCCACTCTTTTTGAGTGACTCTAGAACCCAACCGATACAAAATAAGGTGTGACACAATATTTTATTCCATCAAATTATTCATGAAATATGTAAATAAATAAAAGTTAATAAAGGCATCGAAAAACTATTTTGGGACGGAATGAGTATTAAAATATGGGATTCAAGAGTTTAAATAATTGGAATAATAAAAATTAAAAGGAACAAGGTCGAGTGTTTAAAAGTTTTATATTTAATTCATATTTTGCATAATATCCGCAATCCGCACAAAAAATGCAGATAAGGGCCAACCCGTATTGCTACAAGGGCCGGCCACGCTTGAAAACTGGGAATGAACTCCTCGCCGTTAGCTTGGACTTGGAGAAAAGGCTTCATGAGGTTCTTCTTTTACCCCCCCCCCCCCCCCCACCCCACCCCACCCCAAACGCAATTCTTTTTATTTCCATACACATTTTAATAATATCTGGACAAACTTTTATTTGATTTATTTTGTGACTATTTCGTTTATGTGAAAAAGTCAGCATTATCGTCATACACGTAAATCCATAACTAAAACACTCTTTTTCAATTACTCTGATAAATATAACTTCAATTTTATGTAACTATGGGGACAATATAATAGGTGACAATACCATTCATAGTCGCACACGGAGAAGCAGACAGAGTAACGGACCCAACGGTGAGCAAACTATTGTACGAAACGGCTTCAAGCACCGACAAGACCCTCAAGTTGTACCCAGGAATGTGGCATTCCCTTACCTACGGCGAGTTGCCGGAAAATCTCAACATTGTCTTCTCCGACATCATCCGTTGGCTCGACGAAAAAGTTTCCGCCGGTGGTGCTAGGCTGGAGAGAGAGCAAAAACAAGCTAATGACAATCCATTAAAACCAGAAGCAGGATCCAGTAAATCCTGTTGATTAGCCTCATATTTGATGTCACGGCAAACCGGTTTATATTACAAGTATATAGTTAGTGATTATCACGCAATAAGGTATAGTAATAATACACTCTCCGTCCCAGTGCAATTGTCCAATTTGTGGGTAATATTTATGTACAAGAAACACTGTGAAGCACATGTTTTCCATAAAAAGAAACAGGCAAAGTAATTTGGTATAGAAGAAAAAGGAAAATAAACAAGGGAGAAATGCAGTGCATCATAAATAATTGTTTACTTAGAAGAGATAATATGCTTAAAAATACAACAATACATAAGAGTACTTTTATCAAAGATTCAAAGGGATTAGTACACATCTGAAAGTAACATATGAGTTCAATTCTCTTCTTAAAAATCCCCATAAATGAAGCTTTTTATGCACATTGTGAAGGCTGGGTTGGCGAATAGCTTTCTAATTTCCAATTACTGCATCAACTGTAATGCTATTTCCAGAGGTCAAGACATTTTTTATCCTACAGTGAAATTACTAAAAGGGATCTTTAACCTGACAAACATAGACTTAGGGAGAGAGAGCTAATATAAGAAAGTAGCTAGAAGAAGGTTGAAGGATTTCTTTACACTAGAGATATGCGTGGGCGTGCTCCGGTTTGTGGCTAAACTCATAATCAAGATGGACAAAGGCACGCTCGATATCAGGCAACTGTTCGAGTTTCTCTTGTAAGGACTCTCCAATGTCATGTGCCTCTTCCAAGGTCATGTTTGCAGGCAAGACAATGTCAACTTCAACAAAGTAGCTCGAACCAAAGGTGTATGCCCTGACAGTGTCTATGTGCCTTATGGATTTGTGGTGGTTCCAACATAGGTATGTCACTTTCTGCAAATATTCCGGCGGGGCTGACTTGCCAACCAGGGAATTCACATTCTCCAGCACCGTACGTGACCATGTTCGGATGGTGTATAAGGCCAGCTGAACCACAAATTTAAGAAAAAAACTGATGAAAATGGGAGTACAGGTGCAGATTTAAAGAGAGTGGTCATAAATAACTTAATAACCAATCGCTTTCAAAATGAAACTCCCAAACACTGCCTAATAGGAAGAAGCAAGTGCGCCATTACTTACAATGATGGCTCCAACAGGGTCCATCCAGCTACGGACATAGTTGGCAAGTAATACAGCAAACAGGCCGATGATGTTGGTAATGACATCGAAAAAGTGGTCTTGTGCATATGCTTTGACAATCTCGTTGGTAAAGGATCGACAATATAACACCAAAACTAGTTTCACAAGAGTGACAAAAACCATAATGCCAACTACCCAGAACTCCTGATCCTTTGTAAGCTTCAAATTATGCTCCTGTAAGAATGATGCATGTTCCAATCAGAACACTTGGGAGCAAGTGCAATTGATACTAGGAGTCAAGTTTGAATCGCAGAAATAAACCAAGAAAAGAGATGGCAGTTCTTTTCATGTATAGATCAGAAGTTCTGCATAGGTAAGAAGAATCACTCACATGAGATGCCAGTGTGCGAATAGATTCCAAAATTATCTGCAGTCCTAAAGTAGCCATAACAGATGCAAAAACCAGTATACCCTGCAGATCATAAATGCATTCTCAAACAAATCAAATCAATTAACTCAGATTCTTCAACATATTCGTTTTCAAGCATTGATGAGAGTACATTCTGAAGTTGTTTGCAATAAAGAATATAAGTCGTTTATGATAACATTGGGGGTAACACACTGCTACACCCCAAGGCTTTTCTTCTTTTTCATTCTTGAGATTTTTTTGAAGGGAGTAAAAGTTTCCACTTTCTTAACATACTTTAAAGGAGATCCACAACAATGAAAAACATCATAAAGAAAAATGCTAGGGGTACACCAAATGTGTACCCCATTTGTCCCCCACCCCCTCCTTGTCCACCAAAAAAAGGCAAGAAAATCAAAAAAAATAAATAAAATAAAAATGGGTGGTGGAGAAGTGGGTGGTGTACATTTGGGGTACACCTTTGGTGTACCCCTAGCATTGCTCTATCCTAAATGAATACTCCCTCCATCCTTAAATATTACCTAGTTTAACTTTCATGGTGTTTACTGTTTAAGAAAAATGTTCAAAAGTGAAATGCGTATGTTTGGAATTTGTTTAGATGAGAGAAATCAAGTGACTCACATGTTCATTACTTTAAAAAGCAATGAAGTGTGAAGGGTTTTTAAAGACGTTCAGAAAAGGAAAGTGAAAGTTGTTTTTTTTGGGGGACGAGGGGAGGATATAAAACCAAAATTCTTCTTTATAAAAGGGGTAATCTCATAAGTTTCGGTGATGCACTCTGTACTTTTGTATGGGAATTTCAGAGTAAATCAGAACTTACCAAGGGCTGCATACGTTTCTTTCCAATAGGATATTTATAAGGGTTTTGCCTCTTCATGGAGAAAGCCGTAAACCACAATATAAAACCAGATAATAGATCAAGGAGCGAGTCTAATGTTGATGCTACAATTGCCAGTGAACCACTCCTAACTGATGCATAAACCTTAGCAACAAAGAGAATCATGTTTGCAATATTTGATATCCTAATGGCAGTTGTCTCACTTTTGGCCAATTTTTCCCGCTCTTCCTACAAGGGAACCATTAACATCATCCAAGGTTCTATAGATCATCAAAGTCTGTGAAAACCACTGTCCTTGCCTACTTAATACAAATTAGATACACTGACCTTTGACATTCCAGGCACAGAACCATTATCTGCTAAGGAATCCATTTCGCTAAATCCCTCGAGCATTTCAACTTGTTGCTGATAATATTCTGCGACACTGTCTTCTTCTTCTGTGATTATCAAGTTGAGCAATCAAATATAAGCAATAACTTCAGTGATTGAAAAACATGACCTCATAACACAACTCAAATGACTCAGCTTCTAGTTATATCATGGAAAGCAATTATTACAAAGGCATGGCAACACAATTAGGGCAAAGAATGAATTACAAGTGCATATGTCTTTTCAGGATCACATCAAAGACTACCTTAATTTTAAAATATCAGATTTAAGTATGGTCACATTTTTTAATGTTCAATAACCTGGTATCAACTTTTAAAATTAAACCTGTTGGTGGTGGTGGTGGGGATAAAAGCCAGGGTAGGGTGCTTTTAAAGGCTAATATGTGCTCCATGTAACTTAACAACGGTGGATATATACATCATGAATGGTTTACCTGCACTATGCCACAGATAAGGCTACCACTGGGAAATAAACCTATGTATAGAAGAGCAAAAGTTTCTCCTACTATGCATCAGGACCGTTAATCTTATTTCCTTCTACAAAAATATAGACTTTACTGCCTATACAGCTTGTATATAAATACTCTATACTGAGTACAATACATTGCATGCGAGTGTGTCAGTGTGTGTACAAAAGTAAAAGCATGTGTAACCACAAGTGTTAGCTCAAGGTCATGAACCACAAATCAAGCATATTCCATGCAAAACATAAAGACTGAATGAAATGCCTTCACAATTGGCAACTTTATGTCAATCCACTATGAAGAATCTTGTTCTCCTGAAGTTGGACCCACAATCCAACAGATAATAGTGAACATATAACAATATACTAATCGTGCATCTACAAGCAACAACTCACATGGCTTCAAAACTAAATGCAAAGGAAATACGGAAAATGAAAAATTGAGAATGCTATCTTTGATAGTTTGAGCTATATCATGTTTCCCAATAGATACAACAACAAACCCAGTAAAATCGCACAAAGTGGGGTCTGGGGATTGTGTGTGTGTGTAGACCTTACCTTTACCTCAAGAGCAAAGAGAATGTTTCTAAAAGACCACCGGCACAAAACAATCCCAACACAGGGCGAATGAAAACAACAAGTGAAAGAAAAAAAAGGAAGAAGAGGAGCACAAAGGAAGCAAGCACACACGTGGATACGATAAACTAGAAGGTCAGGATACACGCAATTGTCCCCTCTGAAAACATAGAATATGTTTCTGTTGCACTCTTGATAGAGAATTACTAACCAGGACAACAAAACATTGGCTATATGCCATACAGGGCATCACTTCAGTGTCACACGATTCCAAAAATCAGTGTAAAGTCTAATAAAAGTCTAAACCACACATTATCTGTCACAAAAAAGGTGGTAAAGGGATGGATACCACCCATCACATATACTAATATGCTGATACAAGGTAACTAAAAAAGGAATGAATTTCCCTACGTAAGCTGTATCACTTTTCATCTTGTAATGACTATAAATTCCATGCAAGGAACGTATAAAAGTGAAATCATCAGAGGTTAATGCCACTCAATGGGTACAAAAAAACATAAAGGCTAACTGGATTGATTGACCTATGATTTTAATATTTCAAAATAATTACAGACAAACAATCCACGGAATAACTGTTTCTATATCGTTAATTCGAAACTTCAGCGATCAGAAATTACAATACATCAGAAAAATGCAGCGATTTATAAGGCGTATGAAAGGGGATGGAAGGGAATTACTTAAAACGCAGAGGCAGCAGTCCTGAAGGCTCCGGCGGGACTTCTCTTTCTTCTCCGGCGTTAGCCGGAATCCGTCGAAATTCAACCGCCATGACCGATCAACGTTGTCGGTCTCCGGTAAGATGAGCCGCTCTTCATAGCCACCGCGATCCGAGCCGATTATCGTCTCCACCATTTCCGATTTTCCGCCACGACCGGTCCAACGGGTGCGTAGGGTGGGAGAGTAAGGGGAAGAGTTGCGAATGATGTAAAATTAAGTAAAGTAAAGGGGACAGAATCGAATATCGAAGAGGTCGTTGCATGGTGGCGGAAAGTTCCTCCCGTGTGGGCCAAGTCGAACGGTCACGGTCGGTGCTAACTTCTCAGCCTGGCAAATGGGTGCGTCTTGGCCGGTTCGGATTCAGTCACGGGTAAAAAAGTGTATATTCACCCTACAGTGTCATCGGATTCGGGTCAACGCAATAGGTTATGACTTTAGTTTTTTAAATTTTTAAAATCACATTAACACTAACATTTCTATTAGGCCTCGTTTGGTACATGGAATTCAAACTATGGAATTGAAATTTGAGACTTCAATTCCAATTCTAGTGTTTGGTAAGACAAAAATTATGTAGATTTGAATTGATAGTGCAAAAAATGAATTGAAATTGACAGAATTCAATTCTATAGAATTGAATCCCATGGAATTACAATTTCAATTCAATTCCAATTCCACCAATTCCTTATACCAAACGAACCTTTATGGTATGTTTGAGAACATGGATTTGGATTTTAAATCTGAATTTGTCTCAAATTATTCCATGTTTGTAAAACTTACAAATTTTGAATTTGGATTTGAATCAAATTCTTCTCATTCATAACAAAGCTTAATTTTAAATTCATGCGCTTCCCATTGTCATTTGAAATTCAAGATTTCAAATTTTGGAATTGAAATACATAAATTAAAATAAAATCTTAGTAGCCAAACACTACCTTAGATAAATTTAAAATATAAAAAAATATGGTATTGAATCTATAAAATTATTTTATTTTAAACTCTGAAGTAAATTTTTTGAAATATAAATCATATAAGGAATTTAAAAATGCTTAAATTTTAGAAAAAAGTAGGATAATTATGCAATATAATTAAAGTTTTGTCTGAAAATATAAATTTACACACAAAAAACGAGTAATAAAGTGTTTAATTTTGAAAAATTCTTACTTTAGCGGGTCGGTCAGGTCGGGTTTGGGTTCAGTCGGGTTTGACCCTTTTTTAGCATGTCATTTCGGGTTCAGTCAGCTTCGGGTTCGATCATCAAAACCTTTGTTCAAAACATAGTGTTTTCAGGTCGAGTTTCGGGTCAAAAATAGGCCGAGTCATTTTTTGTCAGGTCTACTTCTCAGAGGCCTAGGCTCAACGTGGGATTCTAAATACGGTTCAAAATATTTTGAATCAGACAAACGTGCTATGGAAACAGGTTTTCAAGAATGATATTCAAAAAATTGATTTAGACGTTACCGAGTTGGTAAAGGTAAAAAATTATCAAGAATTTTCGAGATCGATTCCCGGTAACCGTACTAAAAGACAATTATGTTAAAGTTCTTTCAAATATCAAGTGCAGACTCTACTCTTTAACATTGATCTACGGTTAAAATTTAATTTACATCACCATTCGACATGGTTTAAGGGGACCCTCAGATATCCGGCTCACACTTTCTAAAAATTGACTAAAACCACAATTGGGCCCTATGGTATGGAACGCGAAGGGTAGTATGGCACCGTGGGACGGAGGAGAACATTGCACCCCTAGCGGGAATGTGACGAGCTGGTTTCTCCTTCCCATTTTTCCCAATTCTTTTCAAGAAAGAGACTAAAATGATGTAAAATATTGAAAAGATTTCAAAATATGAGATTTTTATTTTTATTCTCAAAATAGAAGTTAAAATAAATTTACAGTGTCAATCATGATCATTTACATTTCCAAACAATGTTATGATATGTCCATATTTCGCGTGACATATTACCAGAACGCGAACTCCTATTTTAGAGATAAAAACACAGAGCTCCTATGTTGGTCTTTCTCTATGTTTTACTCCTATTTAGTGCAATTTTTTTTCAGTCTGCATGCAATTGTTTTTTTTCTTAGCTTTTTCCTCTGCTTTATTTGTTCTCGTTTTTTCTTTCCACCTTTATTTATTTATTTATTTTTGGCCAGCCTCACCCGAACCATAATATTAATAATACAAATAAAATAATAACCATAATAAAATAATACTTATGACAAGTCAAAAACAAAATTAATAATTATAATAACAATAATAATATTGCTATTATATAAATACATATGCATATTTCTAATAAGAAAAGAAGAAAACTATAAATGTATTTAATCAAATGAATATATTTTATTATTGCTTATCACAAATAACAATGGTTTTTTTATAAAAAAAACTAATCATATAACACAAAAGGCGTATACACTAATTTTAATTTTTTAAATCTTAATATGAATGCGGTTCGGAATAGCCTGAAGTCCATTCTTGTTTTGACTTTTTTTGGTTAAACGGTGATCATCTTTGGCTACAAATTATAAAAAAATTATATTGAATTATAATATAAATTTAATATAATTGGGTTTATCATAATTTTGATTTATTAAATTTTCACATCATTTATTTATTTAGACTATTTTTAATATACGGTAAAAAATATTCCGTTTCACTATTTGACAAAAAAAGTTAAAACAAAAAGAGTTTTCAGAGACATAACCTGTAGAAAAATACTCACAGTGCCATAAGCAAAACCAAACCGTTTAAAACAAGCCTAGTTTGGATCCGTTCCAAACATTTTTTAAGAACCCGACCCATCGAGCTTGTTTATTCCAAACGCTTTGCTCCACTCCACTCCCACACAGTCCCACTGCCAAATCATTCTCCCCACACGACCATGGCCATCTTATCCTCATTCCATGGTTTCCTCCCTTTCTTCCTCTTCTTCGCCCTAGTCAGTTCTCGTAAGCTGAACCTCCACACCGCCGAGCTGGATGAATCCCTTACCTATTTATGGCCGTTGCCGTCTGAATTCACCTCCGGCGACGAAACTCTCACCGTCGATCCCAATCTCTCCCTCTCACTCGCCGGGAACGGCGGCAGCTCTGGCATCGTCAGAGAAGCGTTTGAGCGGTACAAGAGCATTATATTCAAGCATCACTCCTCCAAGCTGTCTAGGTCCGGCGATTACGATATTAACCAGCTCAGTATTACTGTCCACTCCGACAACGAAGAGGTGAATATTTTTTCTGCAATTGTTTTGAGTACTTTTCCTTTTCCATTCCCGACGGTCAGTTAATCGGTGATTCTGAACTTGAGCAGCTGCAACTCGGTGTGGATGAGAGTTACACTTTGATGGTGGCCAAAAGCAATGAGCTTTCGGTTGTTCCCGGAATTTCCATTGAGGTTATTTTCAAGTTCCCCCCTTTTTTACCTTTTGCGTTGATTTGATGAGTGCTCTTTGGGTTTGAATCTTCAATTTGTTACTCCCTCCTTCCTAATCAGTGTTCAGACATTCACTGTATCCAAACCAAATCCAACATTTTCACTATTTTCTGATTATATTCTCAAACTACATTTAATATTGAATATAATGATATGGATTATTAAAGTTAGGTCATAGCTCAATGAATTCTTAATGCAAATCATGTTCAGTTTTTATGAAGTTTGACCACAAAATCCAATGTGTGAACATTAATTAGGAACTGAGGGAGTAGTTTTTACTCCTCTTTCAATAGCCTGAAATATGGAAACTCCCATACTTAAAATTTTTTCAATTTAACTTCGGTTTCTTTCTATCTTTGCGCAGGCGAATTCTGTATATGGCGCTGTTCGGGCATTAGAGGTATGAACTTTGACAGATATAGTACACTATGTAGTATGTACTGATTACTAAGATTATTCAAGTATAATAAGATGAATAATAAGCCCCTATCGATGACTTACATTCCCTCTTCCAGACAATGAGCCAGTTGTGTGCTTTTGATTATGTGGCTAAAGCCGTGCAAGTACAGAAGGCACCCTGGTTCATCAAAGACAGGCCGAGATTTGTGTATCGTGGTTTATTACTTGGTATGCAAGATAAACATTATGCATACATAAGCCTCTTTTGAGTTGTTCTTTTTTATTTATGTTGTTGGATTATACCAGATGGTTATGAATCTGTAGAGGATTCCATGCATTGTCTTCTTCTGAGTTCTGTTGAGTTTCTCATAAATGATTCTTCTTTTGCAGACACTTCAAGACACTTTTTGCCTATTGAAACGATCAAGCAAGTCATTGAATCCATGTCATATGCTAAACTTGTAAGATAAATAATCTGCTGCGTCGACTGGTTCTTTGAATTTGTGTTGTATTTCTGAAATTGACTATTCAATTCAGTAGAATGTCCTTCATTGGCACATCATAGATGAAGAGTCATTTCCTCTAGAAGTGCCTACGTATCCTAATTTGTGGAAAGGGGCATACACAAAGATGGAGCGCTATACTGTTGAAGATGCCTCTGACATTGTCCAGTGAGATTTCTATTTTTATTCCCGTATTTTCCCCTATTCAATTTCTATTTGTTATAGTTAATGACATCGAATAACATTTCCTGGATTTTTTTTATCAAATATTGATTCTTTTTTTATTTTGCATTTCATGTTTTTATCCATGGTCTAAATTGAAGCTTTGCAAAAATGAGAGGTAATTGACATCCTCATAATCTCAAGATGGTAACTTCTATCCCAATATAAACTTTAGCAACACAATCATTACAGGCATCAATATTATGGCAGAGGTAGATGTACCTGGTCATGCAGAATCATGGTGAGTATTTTAAAGTAAAATTTCCTCTTAGATTCTTTTTAATTTTCTTCTCCAAAACTCCAAGGAAAATTGTAATCTTTAATATGGTGAATTTACATGTGAATCTTTTTATGTTCATGAGACTCGACGTTCTTAAAATGCGTAGTTTAGTGTCTACTTCTTACGTATAGCCATATAGGCAGTAAACACAACCGCCCAAGTTTTTGACGAGATGCACTTTTTGGCCGATATATTTCCATGTGTGTAAGGTTGCGAACATGCAAAATTGAGTTTGCCTTGATTGTTTGAATAAGCTTTCTTGTGACAAAATGAAACATTGCATTGAAAACATGAATTGAGTCTGTCAGACGTTCCTACCATTATTGATGCTTTCAGCACATAATCAAGGCTATTTTTTTATATGTTTTTTTTTAAATTATTGCAGGGGTACAGGATATCCTGATCTTTGGCCTTCACCGACATGTAGAGAGCCTCTGGATGTGTCGAAGAACTTTACTTTTGATGTAGTATCAGGAATCATAGCAGGTTATACCCATTGGTTTCCTTGAAAAGTTTAACATCTCAGTCTTATATTGTATATATGTCACGGCCTCCTTTTTTATTTGAACTTATAACTCGTCGTTTCATTAATATTTTTGCGAAATAAGAATTCATGATTTCCTATTTGAGGTTTGAATATGTATCTCGTGAGTTAAAACACCTAGGCACTTACTGGGTATAAACATGAATTTCATTCAGATAAGCCATGGATATAATCAACATACATGCAAATAGATTGCTTTAACTTTGAGTGAAGGCTATCAATGCTTGCATGACATCCTATAAGTGGAGTACATAAAATTTCAAACCATTGCATTACTTTCTTAATCCACGACAACAGACCTTTACAATGAGTTCTTTGCCATCATATTTACATTATTTAGTTATCACTTATCACTATATATGTACATGGAGTTATCTTGTATCGTAATATGGCTACCCCTCTCTTTATTTATAGTGTCTCCTCTTAATAATACTGGGTTGAAGTACCTTATCGGCTTATCCTAACTTCCTACACCTACTCTACTCTTCCCATCTTAATTGTTTTTCTTGCCTTGCTTCTCTCCTGTACAATTGTAATTTCAATTCAGTACACTGTTTAATATCTGTTAGTAGTGATGCGATCTTCCTATCTTTTTAAATAATATATGAACTAATAAAATCTTAAGTTTCCTCCTTTTCTAGAATTTCATGATTTATATCATGAGCATGGGATTTTAGACGGCCGGCTTTTAAAAAAATAGTAGGAGCATTAGATCATAGTGATTATACTATTATAGTTATCATATCCTTTTGTTTTGTCCTTTCACCTGATTGTAAAACTGGCATGTCATTTCTATTCTTGCAGACATGAAGAAGATTTTTCCATTTGAGCTTTTCCACTTAGGTGGCGATGAGGTCCATACAGGTTAGGCTGTACATGATGCAAGCTGTTTGATTTGGTCATACATGTCATTTTGCTTCATTGTTGTCCCTTGTACGCACTCACACATGCACACACGCACACACAACTAAATATGTATTTCCGTTAATTGAATAACTGTGGTTCTGTTTCACGTTTAGGCAGGAAGGTTGTGATTATTACATTTTGTCATTGACTTTACCTCTTGGAAAGAAGATAAATAAAGTGAAAAAGAAACAGATATGGAAAATGAAGGATATTGTTCTAAACATGTATATACTTTTTTGCAGATTGTTGGAGCTCCACTCCGCATGTGAAGCAATGGTATGTACTCTCACATCTTGCTCATCATGATGTTCTTTGCTACTGGTGTTCAGAATGCTATGAATTTATAGGGATAGGATGTTGAAAATAATTCTACCATATTATATTTAGAACTATATTTTAGCAATCACATATCTTCGCAATCACATTATCAAGTGCATTCTTAATTTGTGTAGTGAACACATGCTCATGCATGTTCCTGTAAACTGTGCTATTTAAATTACATTTCCCTCATTTTGCCACTGATATTTCTGTTTGTACACAAGAGTTTCAAGTTTCAACCGCCATCAAAGCAATTTATATGTTCCATATAAATTGTGAAGGTGAGTTTGGACTTGGCGGTCTTAAATTTCTTTGAGGGTATACCCTTAATTAGGAGTCCTCGCAGGGTGTGCGTGCGTGTGGGATTTATTTGGGTTTCCCTGGTTATTTTAGTATACAAAGATGTCATATATGCAGTCTCATTGTCTGAAGTATGAGATCTGTGCAAATGTTTACCTCTTATGTGATCTTTATTATACGTTTATTAAATGTTTACATTCGTTTATTAAAAAAAAAACTATGTATCGTACTTGCAGGCTTAAGGATCGTAACATGACTGGTAAGGATGCATATCAATATTTTGTGCTCAGAGGTCAAGAAATAGCAATATCTCAAAACCGGACACCTGTTAATTGGTAAGTACTCTGTATTTGTCTTTCATAAAAAAAAAAAGAACAAAAGTAGATACAATGACATTATCGATGTTGGAAATATCACCCATTAATTGAAAAATTCTATCTGATGTAAAACACTAGTATAATAATAATAATACGAGTATAATAATAATAATAATTTGTTGATTTTCTATCAAAATCCATGTTCTAAATAAATTATTACAGAGTATTTGAAAATGCAAGTGGGTTTTCTTTTTTGCAGGGAAGAAACCTTTAACACATTTGCCTCCAAACTCAACCCACAAACAGTGGTGCATAACTGGTGAGTACAGAGTGGACTTATGTTCTATCTCAAACCACATTTTTGTCTTCCTGGTCCGCCACAATCAGATTTTTGACCATAATAATAGTAATATATGACTGGTGTAGGTTGGGACCTGGTGTCTGTCCGAAGGCTGTTGCTAAAAAATTTAGATGCATTTATAGCAACCAAGGCGTCTGGTATCTCGACCATTTAGATGTTCCCTGGGATGAGGTTTATTTTGCAGATCCATTGGAAGATATAAACGACTCTGAACAGCAAAAACTCGTGCTGGGAGGTGAAGTGTGCATGTGGGGCGAAATGGCTGATGCCTCAAATGTTCAAGAAACCATATGGCCACGAGCTGCAGCAGCTGCAGGTTAGGATTCATCTTATTTAGGCCTTGCCTGGGAACAACATTTTTAATTAGCGTTAATGTTTTAGATAATTTCTAAATGGTGCCGATTAACTTTTAAAATGCCAAAACTAAATGTTGCCATTACATAGTTTTTTCAAAATGTTGAAGTGTTATCAAACGAGCACTTAGCAAACTAAACATGTTCCCATTTGTTTTTTTTTCTGCTTAGGGGGTCTTGTAGTTAGTTTTTCCAACCAAATAATAAACTATTATAGAGTATATGAATAAATTTTAACACATTTATTTCACATTGCAAGTGCTTTGTGAGGTTTGTAAAGATTTGGGGTTTTGGTTGTAGAGCGTTTGTGGAGCTATAGGGAGAGACGATCCTCGTCGCAGAATGAAACAGCAGTTGCGCTGCAGAGGTTGGAGTATTTCAGGTGCCTCCTGACAAGGCGGGGTGTTCAAGCCGCCCCCGTTACAAATTCTTATGCACGAAGCCCTCCAACAGGTCCAGGGTCATGTTATGAGCAGTAGTTGTCTTTTGTTTTAGCTATGAAATGAAATCTATGCTTCGATCTTCTTCCCAACCATATATGGATGTCATGTGTATTTGTTCGGAGTGTAATAAGGATTTAAAAGAACTCATTCACAAAATTTAACAATCTTTAAATTAACGTGGTGTGATTTACTCATTTTTGTTTGTTTTAAGCATCTCCATTCACGCTTGCTAAACATCGCGTGCTACAATCATTTATTAGCATATGAATAGTGATGTAGCAAGTAATTTTGCATTGTCATCTCCGACCTTTGCTTGTTATAATTTCGTTAAAATATATTGATTTCACTATTAGAGTACATTATTTATTACTCCCTCCGTCCCGTGAAACATGAGAGTTTTGCTTTTTAGGAGAGATTTAAGGGGAGTATATTTTGGTATTGAATTTCCAAAAATGTCCTTTGATGTGATGAGTAAAAGTATGATTTGATGGATAGATTATTAGTAAAAAGGTATGATGTGATAGTTAGGGCATGAAAAAGTAAGGGTTAAAAGTGACTTTTTAATGGAAATGAGAAGTGTTTTGTGGGACGAATAAAAAAAGAAAGGAAAAAGGTTTTATTGGACGAAGGGAGTATAATTTTAAAATCTTATTATTTTTTTCATAAAAAATAATTAATGTTCAACAAGTATGCAATTTTTTTTTCTTGCGTTGTGGTACTGTGGAGTAACAAATCGGTCATGGCACATGAAGTAGCTAACCCAATCAATATTTTTCTTCTTCTTTTTGGCTTGTTATATTTTATAAAGTTAATGATTAATAGCTTGTCATTTTCATTTTAAAGCAAGTTTTTTTTAGCCCATCAGCATCATTGTCGTTTCAATGAAGAGATCAATGAAAAGAGCCGCAGCTTGGGGGACGGTATTTAATGCGCACATGACGTTAAAGAAGCAAAAATGCAGCAAGCGTTAAATGTACGTATTTCAGGTGCCCTTATAATGAGTGTGCCACAAAAATATAACTTGAGTATCATACTCCGGTCAAATAGCGTTAGTATACCCCGTGGTTTGCAAAATAGGCAGCAATACCCCCTCTGTTTTCAAAACTTATTTCTAAAGTCCTTGTGGTTTCAAAACGTTGCACCCGTGCCCCCTCTGATCATTTTCCGACCATTTTTCCGGCGAAGAAGGGGGACATTCGTGCATATTTTCTAAACCACGGGGGATACCAATGCTGATTTTTTATTTCTCTCTTTTTTCCACAATTTTTTCCTTTATTTGTTTCATTTATTAATAAAGGTTATTTCACAATTAATTTTATAATGTTCTTAAAATTTAAAGTTATTTTTGTTTGACAAAATTAACATATAATGCATCGGTACGTCTCAAATTAACAATTTTTGTTTTTTCCGAAAAAAGGTAATTTTTTTAGAACTTCTAAAAATTGATGAATAAAATAAGAAACAAAATAATACAAAAATAAAAATAATTATCCTTTTTCGACATTTCAATTTTAAGGATATTTTTAGGCGTATTCCAAAATTGTTTTTGTAGAAGACTCTTTTTTTCGTATTTTAAACTTTTCATTTCGTTTTTCCATATTTTTATTTTGGGTTTTCTTTTTGAACTTTCCAAAAAATTATTCTATGTAAGAAAAAGTGAAAATTTTTAATTTGAGATAGATGGAATGTATGTTAATTTTTTTATTAGTTCAAACACAGAATTTTAAAAAAAATCTAAAACATTATAAAAATTGAAAAGAAATTTTAAAAAAAATCTAGGAAAAGGAAAAAGAAGGAAAAACACAATTAATAAATGAAAAATAAGAAATGAGCACAAGTGCCCCCTATGGTTTAGAAATTATGCGCCAATGCCCCCTCTTCGCCGGAAAATGGCCGGAAAATGACCAGAGGGGGTGTGGGTGCAACGTTTTGAAACCACAGGGACTTTAGAAATAAGTTTTGAAAACAGAAGGGGTATTGGTGCCAATTTTCCAAACCACAGGGGGCACCGAAGCTATTAGGCCCGATGATCCGGGGCAACGGCGGAGCCACATTGGGTCAAGTGGGTGCAGTTGCACCCACCGAATTTGAATTAGAATGTATATATATGTATTAGTTCGAACATTATATTGGGCAGTAGAAATGGTTGATGCCATTTGTATTGCTCCGTAACTCAACTAGCCCGAGTTCGAGTTCCTCTGGCATTTTTATGATAACCCTTTTATCAACTAATCCATGTAATGGTTGTAAGTTTTTTGTTTACACTATACTCTCTTTCCTCCCAATTTGATTACAATTTTTTTCTCTCTGATCGATAACTTTTGTTTGTTTACGCGATTTAATTAAGTTTTTGATAAAATAAAATATTTTTGATACTTCTTATTTTGTAGAATTTTTGACGTAGTTCTTTAATATGTAATTTTTTTTATCAATATACCGATTTATAAATAAAATGATTTCAAAAAGTGAGATATTTCTCCTCGTAAACCCCAATTTGTATCAAATTACAAATTGGGGACGGAGGGAGTATTTTTTATTTAACTTTACATTGACCCCACTCCACCAAATGTCTGGCTTCGCCACTGTCCGGGGGTCTCAATGTCTCGTTTGTAAAATTGACCGTTCCAATATTATGAGAAACCCTCCAATTTAAATCACATAGTGGGAAGTCTGGGAACAAAGAATAATGGAGTGATTGTACGTATTCATTGGGAACCAGTGATCGGTCCATCTCCCCAACGACGATGGGAAATTAACGGTCATTTTCGGCATCGTCCATTATTATTTAAGCGATTCTGATCTTATTATTATTATTATTTATTATTATTATTATTATTATTATACAGTAGCTTATTATTATGTTCCATTCGTCCCTAAAAGATTGCCACATTTTAAATTTTTTTGGCAAACTGCAACATACTTTGGCTGTAAATTATGAAAAAAAATTATATTTAGCTATAATATAAATTTAGTAAAATTAAGTTTATTTTAAAACAAAGTTTTGAAATATTAAATTTCTATGATATTTAATCATTTTAAATTATATTTAATTCGTGGTCAAAAGATATCATAGTTTGACCAAAAAAGTTCTTTAATTTTAGAGACGGAGGGAGTACTACCTATTAGTAATTTACCCAAGATATTTTATTTTTAACCTTTCGTATATAAGAAAGTCAGTACAAAAATATCTCTTTCCTAAATTACAGACTCCCTCCGTCTCAAGTTTGATTACAAATTGAGATTTATGAAGCAAAATTTTTTATCTTTTGAAATAATTTTACTTACAAATTGATATATTGATAAAAAACAAAAATTACATAAAACTATGTCAAAAGTTCTACAAAAGAAATGGTGAGGAGAATATTTTATTTTTTTTAAATAATCAATGAAACAATCAAATTAACAAAAGTTATTGAGAAAAGAAAGAAAAAAACTTAGGATGAATAGCATGAGTGGCCACCGTGATTTACAAAAGGTGCGCCAATATCCCATATTTCAAAAGTTATTTGTAAAATCCCATTATTATTAAACAGTGCAAAGACACCCTTGTTACCTATTTTTAGAGTTAAAATGAAATTAATGCCATTTCTTTTCCTTTATATTTTCAAGTTTCACTCTTTCATTTTTTATTTTTCCTTTATCATAAAAATAAATAAAATATAATTTATGCTCTCGATCTCAAGTTTAAAATTCTTTTGAATGCTGCTTTCTCTTCTTCTACATCGGTTCTCACTGCTGTGTTTCTCGCCCCAAAGGAAGCTTAACTGATCATGAGTGGAATATATATATATATATATATATATATATATATATATATATATATATATATATATATATATATCCATTATTTATGCAATTGACTTGAGGAAAACTTTCTTTATTTCATATCTGGTGTTGTTTGTTTTATACTCCGTATTATCTATATATATATATCATTTTCTAGGATTATGCTGTTTTTTGTGAAATGAAATGCCTTATGAATGACGACTTTATCTATATTCTCTTCTTGCCCCTCTGTTTTTTAAAATAGTCCCAATTTTTAGGGATATTTTAACAATTTTTAAGTGAAAAAGAATTGTTTTCCCAAAGAGAGGAAGCATGCATGTACGGTTAGAACATCATATATATCCCTAAGAGCAGTGGCATGACGCTCACCCATAGACCTCGCAAAAAATGTCTCGACCTGTTTTTGACCCGAAACCCGACCTGAAAACACTGGGTTTTGAACAAAGGTTTTGTTAACCGAACCCAAAATGATCCGCTAAAAATGGGTCAAACCCGACCGAACTCGAACCCGATCTGATCGACCCGCTAAAGTAAGAATTTTTCAAAATCATACGCCTTACTACCCGTTTTTAGTGTATAAATTTATATTTTCAGACAAAATTTTAATGATATTGCATAATTATCTTACTTTTTTCCAAAACTTAGGCATTTTTTTAAATTCCTTATATTGATTTATATATCTAAAAATTACTTCAAAGTTTAAAATAAAATGATCTAATAGATTTAATACATTTTTTTGATATTTTAATTTTTTTAATAGAAAATGTAAGTGTTAATGTGAATTTAAAAGTTTATAAAAGCAAAGTCATAACCAGTTGGGTCGACCCGAACCCGATGACACTGGGTCATGAACATGCAGTTCTCAACCCGAACATGAATTGACCCGAACCCAAAATAACCCGAACATGAAGTAACCGAACCCGACCTGACCGACCGATTTGCCAGCTCTACCCACCCACGTTAAGATCATTTTGACGTGTGGTGCCGTTGAAGTTGTTGCGTCAAATTTTTTATGCCGTTTGAAGGCGTTCCAACGCCTTCTCCTCTATTTTTTCCTCTTTTCTTCTCTAGCAATAAAGTTATTGTATTTTTATACAATTTCCCAGTAACAAAAATTAATCGATTTCGTTGAGAAACTAAAAATTAAAAAAAATACCCGTATTTAATAAAATATTTTTTAAAAAAGTTAGAAAGGTTTAAAGCAAAAAAAATTGAAACAAACAACAAATCATTTGATAAAGAAAATTATAAATGGAACAAAAAATTCGAACAAAAAAATGGGAACAAAAAAATTTGGAACAAAAATTGGAAAAAGAAAGCAAGAAACTCCACTTTAACAACAAAGCAAGAAACTCAATAATTGGACATTATTGAACAACAAAGCAACAAAGCAAAAATGGAACAAATATCGGAACCAAAATTTTAAACAAAAAATGATAATGAGTAGCTAACTCCGTTTGACAATTAAATGGAGTGGACGGATTAGGCTACTCCGTTTGTGTCAATAATAAAGACTGAAATGGAGTAGCCAACTCTGGTCGATATTATTCGAGAAATCATAAATTAAAAAAGCATATAAAGGAATGAAATGCAACCAATCTACACTGGTAGAGAATTCACTCTCCCTAAAGAGCATCACATGTGTTTTTCTTTCCAATGTAGCATTTTTAATCATTATGCATTAGTCATTATTCAAGCAAATATTTATCATCAATGGACATTATTAAATGCTATTTAGGAAATAAAACAATTTAAGTACTATTTAGGTGGCAGGGAATTCACCCCCCTTAAATAGCACCATATGTGTTTTTCTTCTCAATGTAATACTTTTAGTCATTATGCATTAGTCATTATTAAAGCAAATATTTTTCATCACTGGACATTATTAAGTGTTATTTAAAAAATAAAACAATTTAAGTACTATTTAGAAAAATGATTAAGTTTTAGTGCTATTTAGTGCAAATATTTCAATATTTTTATGGGAGGGAGAGAAGAGTACTTTTTTTTGTCATAATCATTTTAATTGCTCATATCTAACTATATATCTAAGTATTGGCCACTGGCCAATGGCCATGATGAATTGGCATCAATCTGTGTGAGAGAATGTGTGGATCAACCGTCAACGCCATGCACCTGCGTCGAGAATGGAGCATTTGAATTTTGATCGGCGAGAAGACAACCGTCATCTTTCTAAATCACAGTGCCGGCCGCCGGCCGAGTATTATACCGGTGTACGTACGTAGTTATTACTCCGTACTAGTTAAATATCTTTACTTTAATTTATTCTCTCTCTTAATTAATTACTCCCGCTGTCCGGAAATATTCTTTCTATTTGATTTTTCTTGGTCAAAGTTTGTAAACTTTGATTATGATATGTGGAAAAAATACATTGTATTACGATATAACTTTAATATGAATATATTTATTTTGAAATATAGTTTTCAAATACTCCCTCCGTCCCAGAAAACATGTGAGTTTTGATTTTGAAGAAGGATTTAAGTAGAGTGTATTTTGGTATTGAATTTCCAAAAATGTCCTTTGATGTGATGGGTAAAAGTATGATTTGATGGATAGATTATTAGTAAAAAAGTATGATGTGATAGGTAGGGTATGAAAAAGTAAGGGATAAAAGTGACTTTTTAATAGAAATGAGAAGTGTTTTGTGGGTCTAATAAAAAAAAGTATAAAGTTTTCTGAGACGGAGGGAGTATCAAATTTTTATAAAATATATCCATGTATAGATATTAGTGGTAAAAGAAAAAAAAACTCCTACTTCTAGCTTCTTCATCAATATATAATCTCTGGAACAATGGTATCGCCGGCTAAGGCATCCCAAACGCCCATGACTCTGAAGCTCCTGATCAACAGGAAGGCGCAAAAGGTCGTATTTGCTGAAGCCGAAAAGCCTTTCGTCGATTTCTTGTTCTTCCTCATGTCGCTCCCGCTCGGCACCGTCACCAAACTTGTAAACCAGAAATCCATGGTGGGTTCCCTGGGAAATCTTTACGGCAGTATCGCCGACCTCGGGGAGACCTACCTGCAACCTGGTATCAGCAAGGACACCTTCTTGAACCCGAAGATGTCTGCTCCCTCTTCCGACGTGCCACTCCTCATGCCTGCTCCTCCCGCCGGCATGTCCGACTCCAAGAAGTTTTACATTTGTTCTAACTACCGCAGCAGTAATTATTGTCGCGGTAACTGCAGCAACAACATGAACATTGAGGCTACATATGTTGCTCCGGCGAAGGCGCAGGCGTCTTCTGCCGCCGGCGAAGGTGGTGGATTTGTGTGGGGGGTTGTGGGGTATATGGTGATGGATGACTTGAAGGTGATGCCACAGTATACCATTTCAGCCATTACAGCAATGAATGACAGCAACATCAATGATTTTGGATCCCTTGAGGTCAAGGTTGTCTCTTTGGGTCAAAATGTGGTACGTGTATATACCGTCTTCCTCTTTTTTTTCATTCTCAAGTAAATTCCTCCACTTTCGCCATTTTGTGGACCATAACTTTTGGCGCCTTTACAATGTCTAACTAATGTTGTTTTTCATATATTTCGGTGTCTTATTTAAATCTTGTTTGGTGTATATAAAGATTATTCGTATATAAAAAAAAGAGAAATTTACCTAAATAGGACTAAAACATAATGACTTTCCCAATATAGAGGACATATATGTTTTTATTTCCCAATGTAGGACCTTTGGTCATTATGAAGTAGTCATTATTCAAGTAAATGTCCATCATTACGGGACATTATTCCTCCCACTAGGTCATTATTAAGTCTTATTTAGGGAATAAAAAAGTTTAAGTGTTACATTAGGAAAGTCATTATGTTTTAGTCCTATTTAGTGCAAATTTTACAAAAAAAAATCACTCATAAATTTAACATGACCAGATTATATTGTGCTAGCAATTATTTAACCATGTAAATACACTGTAGTACTCGAGGCATGTGTTATGTGATGAGGGGGATCGGAGTGCCTCACTACCTCCCTCGTGCCTTCTTCACGCTTACACACGGTGCCGGCTTCAAGTGAAGAGGTGTTCCCCCTCTTCCCGTCACCCTGTTTATGGCGTTGCCTCTACACCCAACATAACAAACATTTTCACCACTTCACATCATATATTTTTACACCCCATCACGTCCCATTCAAGAGCCCCCCAAAACACATAGAATCAGCAATACTAAGAAATCTATTTGAACAAAGTGATTTGTGTTTAATTTACTTTCATCATCTCTTGTAATTAATTAAAGAAAGAAGAAAATAGGCTCACTTCTCATTCTTTTACAATTTGTTTGTTGATTGGCATGCAGGGATTGAAGTTGCTGAAGGCTGCTTTACAGACTAATTCGGTTCTCACATCTGTCTTCTTGGGAAAGTCTGCAGCCCAGTTTTGAATTAACGCTATATTGGTGCGACTTATTTTGTGAACAGCCCGCTGTTGAATTAGGATATGATTTTCGCCAGTCATTTTTATTTTGAGACAGTGTTTTGTCATGTGCCCTATGATCGTTAATGATGCAAGATGTGCACTTCTTTTTTGCTGTATTCCATCATGTTTTTGAACTCTCTTATTTTTGACAATTTTTTTTAGCGCTTGTCTGAACTATACTTGTACTTGTGCGTTGCACGGCCTAATTATAAACTAAATAATTAGGGAAAGTATTGATCAGGGAAATGATAAAATTAAATTATTAACATAATAATATATAATCAAATATTAAAGAAAGGGAAATATACAATAATATAAATTGTGGATCCATAATATTATAAGTTTTGGAAAACTTCTTTGTGAACTACATTTCTAGTTTGGTTTGATGATGCAAGGTATTCATTGCAAATCATATCTTTAATCTTTTGCGATTTGTGACACATGAAAGTGCTTTAAAAAACTGGTCATGACTTAATGCTGTGTTCTTTAGTAAAAGCCTAACATGCGACAAACATTGACCTTAGTTTTTATTAATTGTCACTGCATATAAAATCATAATTTGGAATTGTTTCTAGCCATGCAATTGTCTTGACAAGGTGTTACTATATCAAATATGCCTTTTATAATTTCTCAATAAAAAATTGAGACAAAAAATTTAGATTAATTTGCTGGGTATAGTATGAATTTCCCACACGAGCAATCGGGTTAAACGGGCCACAAGACGTTGGATACATACTCCATATGAACAACTGAGCTGCTAGGAATGAACGTCGTCTAAACGATACCTTGACAAACGAGGTGGGTCAAAACCTTTTTCGATAGCATGATAGAACTTAGGATGGGGTAGGGATAACTAGATTGGACAATAAGACTCTTTGGTTGAATCACATTAAAAAATTGAATTGAATCGATTACTTAGTTCAACTCAAGAGTTTATAAACTGATAACGTTTCTATTCAACTTCCGATGTGGGATAGACTCTAACAATATCAATAATGTTGTATTTGCATTTTTTGTATATCAGTAAGAATACTTTTATTTCTATTATAACATCAAAATTTTTCATATAAATATGTGAATTACTCGTCTGAATTTTAATGTACTTAGAATAACTCCGTATCAAGATTAGTTATTGGTATTTGTACTTGATCTTAAGTTATTTTACAACTTATAATATGGTTTAAAATATAATATTAATTAGTAGTTAAAACAATGTACTCCCCCCGTCCAGAAATATTCTTTCCGTGTTGACTTGACACGCTTATTAAGGAATCATAAAAAAATACCAAAATTTCAAAAATGCACATACTATAAACTTTTAAATCTTATTTTCTTATTAAAAAAGTAATACAAAAGTAGATTAGTGATAAAATAGAAGGGTATTATTGAAATTTATCCTTAAAAAGTATACTAAAAAAGGAAATGGGAAGAATATTTTCGGACGGGCCAAAAAGGAAAGTGGGAAGAATATTTCCAAAGGGAGAGAGTAACTTTTATCGATTGATGAGTTGTTTGCATTTATAGTCCTATGATTTTTTTTACAAATCACATATACTCATATACATAATAAATTAAAACAAAGCATATAGAAAAATTTGGTTTATTCGGTTCATTTCAGTTTTCAAAATGAAAGCTAAGTCGGAACTAAACAATAATGGTTGGATTCAATTTGGTTTTTTTTCTAACTAGTTTGATTCGGTTTGCTGTGTTCATTTTTCCAAACCCAGCCTTATCAATAATAAATACTCCCTCCGTCCCATAAACTCTTTCACGTTTCAAAAAAATCGTGTCCCTAAAAGTTTTTCTCATTTCCTATTAAAAAACCAATTTTACCCCTTACTTTTTCATACCACATCATATATTTTTTCTAATACTCCCTCCGTCTTATAATGATCTTCACGGTTCTGTTTACGAAGTTTGACCGACTTTATTTTTAATTCAATTTATTTGATTGTAGGTGTAAAATTAAAAAATAAAATTTATATATTTAAAAACTACAGTACATCAAAAGTTCTACAAAACAAGTGGTGACAAGACTATATTATTTTATCAAATACCTAATGAAAATACGTAAAGAAAGTGATTAAAATTTGACCGTGTGAATAGTAAGTGGGAAGAGCATTTCAGGACGGAGGAAGTAATCTACATATCATATTCTATTTTTTCTCATCACATTAAAAGTATTTTTGGAAAGTTAATAAAAAATTATCCCTCCTTATTTTATCATTTAGTCAAACCGTCCCTATCATTTCTGGGCTACAACCATAAACTTGAGTTTTTGGTTGAGTAGGTTCCTTGACATTGTATCAGAGTCTTGACGATCAAGAGATCACGAGTTCGAAACTCATCACCGCCACCCAGTTTAAAAAAATTAAGATTTCACGTGTAAGGCTCAAAGAGGTCACGCCTACACGTGAGGGGGCGTGTTAGAGTATATAACAATCATTCTTGGGCCACAATCATAAGCTTGAGCTTTTGGTTGAGTTGGTTATGAGAACGCCTTGTTCAACGCCATCCTGCGTTGTTCGAATTTGGACTTTAATTTATCACTAACTGCATTTGAATTTGGATCGACGACGGTGAATCCTAAAAGCCACCGGCCAACTTTCTTTATGCATAGCCGCCCGCCGCCCGATGATTATACCCCTGCAGCACGGAGTTTTTTTCATTACTTAGCTTTTATCGACACTGGCACGCCCGTTCGAATACCTTATTTTCACGGATTTATATTATTCACACTTCTTCCTCTATACCTACCAATGAAATTCTTAGATAACTATGGTAATAGTTATAGAAGGATTGTTATTATAGTTAATTACCATATTTGGAGAATCCTAATTGATGTAGGAATCTCCATCTATATAAACTACCTTGTACACAATTATTTCCTTGAGTTGAAATCATAATTCAATATGGTATCGGAGCCTATTGATCTGTCTCTTCCTTCTCGATAACACAAAGAAAAAAATCGGCCCAACCGATTCGTCTTCCCACGCCGCCGATCTCCACCAATCGGCCATGGCTGCTCAATCTTCTGATCCCATGGATCGTCTGCCTACGGGTTTGAAATTATTTGTCCGGAATCTTCAATCTCTAACTCCGGTCAAACTTGATGATACAAATTATCCTTCTTGGTCTGCTACGGTTCGTGCAAATCTCATCGCTCATCGTCTCCTCGGATATGTTGATGGTTCAGAAGTGCCTCCTCCACCCCTTGTTCTGGACGAGAAAGCTGCCGCCCCTGGCAAGGATGAACCGCCAGTTATGAAACCCAATCCTGCTTATGACTCATGGGTTCTTGTTGATGCTCAAATCCGGGCCTGTCTTCTTGCTATTGTTTCTCCAACCGTTCAGACTCATATTCATGCTCTTCCGTCCTCTGCTGCGATCTGGAATCACCTCGAACAACGGTACAATTCTCTATCACGTACTCATATTTTTCAATTGAAGGAGCGCCTACATAGCATTCAAAAGGGCACTGATTCCATGCAAACATACCTGGACACTGTTCTCACTATTGTCTCATCTCTGAAATTGGCTCATGAGGACATCTCTGAACAAGATATTATCCTGTGTGTGCTTCGAGGCCTCCCTACGGACTATGCCTCGCTCAAACAAAACGTTCGTACTAATATTGCAACCGTCACTTTTAATCAAGTATCTGCGTGGTT